GAGGCTAGAGATATGTTCAAACAATTGCAACATATGATTTTAATTTCTGATTAGATTGTAAAGGCGGGATTCCTTTCGCACGGGTTTTTCAACTAAGGTTAAATGGAATTTAGTAAGGATAGTGGCCTAGTATAAATTCTAGCTTCCCTCATAATTTAGATAAGAGTTCCTTTTTAAAGAGTACTTCAAGTATAGAGTTCAAAGGTGTTTCCTTGCCAACGGGAATGCCTCAGCCTTTTATTCAAGCACATTTTCCATAGGAATTAATAGGACTGAGTTCGGGTAACATTTCTAGTTTGAATTAGAACTTCAGTATGATTTCTTTTTTAGGCATGATTTCAATTCGATTTTGATTAGAATTCTTATGTCAAGTTGGACTTTAAAGGGGTTTCTTTCCCAGAAGGATTTGTTCAATCTTTTACTCAGAATTTAGAAAGGATTTACATGCCAACAACATATCTATCTTCAATTTTGTTTTAAGTAGGATTGCGCAACGGCCATCAAAAAGGGCCAGTTTGCGAGATCTGCGATATGACACTCGTCTACTCTCATCATGTCCTCTACTTGTCGGCCCAAAGTGCTGAGAGGTCCCTAGAAAACCTAAAACCTAGTCTCCAGGAGTCTTCAGCTGCCAAGCTGTCAAGGCTAGGTTGAAGAGGGACCTCTCAGCATTTTGTGCTTCCAGGTGCTCAAAGTGCTGGAAGGTCCCTTGTAATCGAAAACAAGGGACCTTCCAGCACTTTGAGTACCTGGAAGCACAAAATGCTGGGAGGTTCATATTTCATATTGCATGGAAGATGAAAGTCCACCTGCTTCATGTGAAAGCACTCGGACAAGCTCAGTCTGCTTCATCTGAAACCCATGTAGCAGTCAGCAAGCCTTATCTTGAAAAGCACATCTGCAAAACAATCCAACATGTCTGCTTCATCTAGAAAACACTGTATTTTACAGTGTTCTCTTGCATTCCACACTCTGGGGGTGGATCATGGGGGGGGGTGACCACATATATATACATTTAGAGAGAGAGATGGTATAAATGGGCGGAGATATATTTAGATAAATAGATAGACAGATAGTAAGTTAGATGAATATTGATATGTGTTTATAGCTATATCTTGATACATATACTCAGAGAGAGAGAGAGTGATAGATATAGGAAGACCGGTAGATATATTTTTATAGATGGATATAGACGGAAAGAAAGATAGATATAGATGTAGATGTAGGTGTAAATTCAGCGCAGATAGACACATATATATATATATATGCCTATACAGATAGACATGGATAGATATAGATAGACCTTAAGCGTAATGTATATAGGTACGTAACTATACAGAGAGGTCTAGATGGATATAGATTGGGCCGGATTGGGCCGCCCACCCCAAACACTTTACATCGACCCTAAACCCATCCTAAACCCACCAACCCAAACCAAGCCCGCCCGAAACCCACCTCAAACCCACCCAACCCCGACCCTAAGCCAAACAACCCTAAATCAACGCGCAGTAATCCCACCCCCAACAAGCTCTAAACAAAGCAACCCCAGCCATGCTCGACAAGTTCGTTTTTGATGCCTAATATTGTTTTGATGCCGCAGTTTCCAGGCTTTTTACTTTGTTGTGCGGCGAAAATTGTGCCCAACAAGTTTTGTTTGACACCTAATAAGTTTTTGTTGTCTGATCTTTGGAAATAAGATATATTTGATGCTTAATAACTTTGTTTTGATGCTTCACCCTGCAGGGACACCGTGTACTTGGAATAGTTTCTAGCACATAAAGCTGGCTTCTTCGGGACTCCTTACTTGCAGGCTCAACACCTCCCTCCATTGAAACAAACACCCCGTGGATTAGGGCATTGGTGTTTTTTCCGTGCGCAGTCAGTGTTGGGAGCTGGCCTATTCCTGCCCCCTGCAAACACTTAAGAAGTCCGTGAAATTTTGGGCTTGCAAAAGCACGATCAACACACACACACACCGAACAATATAGACTAGATAGACGGACAGATGGCAAGATAGATGGAGAGATAGATAGATAGATAAATAGAGAGAGATAGATAGATAAGTTGGTAGATGGATAAATTGACAACTGAGTAGGTAGGTTGAAACAAGGTAGATAGTAAGATAGATAGATTGATTGATTGATTGACTGATTGACTGATAGAGAGAGAGAGACAGGTAGATAAACACGAGGGAGAGAGATAGACAGGTGTATAGAGAGAAAGAGATAGATAGATAGATAGATAGATAGATAAAGAGAAATATAGATAGATAGACTTGCAGATGGCTTGATAAATAGGTAGGGGTGTAGATAGATAAATAGGGATAGATAGGTAGGTAGATAGGTAGATGGAGAGACAGAGAGAGATAGACAGGCAGATAAATCAACGGGCAGGTAGGTAGATGGATAAATGGATAGGTACGTAGATGATAGATAGGAAGACAGAGACACAGAGAGAGAGAGGGAGATAGAGATATAGATGGGTAGATAGATAGATGGATAGAGATAGAGAGATAGATAGACAGACAAATCGATTGGTTGAGAACTAGGTACATAGACAGGCAGATAAATAGATGGGTAGGTGACCGGTGGATAGATTATAGACTAGGTAGATGGACATATAGAAAGATAGATGGAAAGAGAGAGAGAGAGAAATAAATAGACAGATAGATGGAGAGACTTAGAGAGAGAGATAGAGAGAGATAAGAAGAGATAGATGGAGAGGTAGGGAGATCGAGAGATAGAGAGCTAGATAGATAGATAGATAGATAGATAATGAAAGTTCATATCCATGTAAAACATCACTGCCAATGGAAGTTCACCGATTGGCCAGGTTCCCGAAAATTAGGGCGTACTGGAAACCAGCCGAAAGGGACATGTAGGGACCCGTATTGGATGTTTCAACCCAGTTGGTAGGTGCAGGACTTAGTGGCCCGCGGGGGGATGCCTCGAACGAGCGTTCTTCTCGATTTGGGCAGTAGATGCAAGATTGAACGCGCAGAAAAGAAAAACCGATGCGGTCCAGCGTCAGTCATACTCGGGGTAGCGACTGGGAGAAGTGGGATTTGACGCCTTATAACCTTTGCTAATTGGGTTGAACATCACCATACTTGGCTGACAAATCAACAGGAGTTGGTTGACTTAGAAATAAAGGGTGCAAGCAAGTTCATGGAGGTGTCCTCGTACCGGAAATTAAAGGGGGGCTCAGGAGGACCATGGCTCCAGGAACCCACCGGCGGAATCAGCCAGCCAGCCAAAGAAATGCTCAGCGGAACCCTCCTGTTGGAAGAAATCGGACGTATACAAAAACCAGCTTTTGTAAACGACCATTTCTCATCAGAGCTACGCACCGGCAGAATCAGACAGCTAAGGAAACGCCCATGCGGAAACCTTCTGTTGGAAGACGCCGGCCGTACACAAAAGCCAGCTTTTGTAAACCACCGCTTCTGGTCGGAACCAGCCTGCGGAATCGGCCAGCAAGCCGGCCTGGAATCCACCGTCGGAATCAGCCGGCCAGCCTGCCAAGAATATGCCCGGCGGAATCAGCCAGTCAGCCAAGGAGATGCCCGGCGGAATCAGCCAGTCAGCCAAGGACATGCCCGGCGGAATCAGCCAGCCAGCCAAGGAGATGCCCGGCGGAACCAGCCAGCAAAAAAAATAGGCGGCTGGCGGCTGAAACTCTGAGACCCAGCTGTGTCCAAAATCGGCGGCTGGCGGATTTCAGCTTAGGCCCCGAACTCCAGGACCTCTATATCCACCAAGGGAGTCTTTAGGTTCACATGCTGACCAGATTTAGTCTGGCATAAGCGGAACCCCCTAAAGGTAAACGGATAGATACACTGGGGATGCCGTTTGCTTCTGGGAGCGCTCCCAAGTCTCGTTCGAACATCTCGAGTGCTCCAGGCGAGAGTCAGCGAAGCTGTAGTGCTGGCCTCGATGCGCCAACTTGCAAGCGAATCAACCGGAAGTGTGTCCTTTTGATAGGAGGATAGACTGGGGCCAGTTAAGAAGTCACCTTTGACCACCTGACTTGCAGGAAATCCTTGTACAGCAGGTGACTTTTGGATGTATCTTATAAGGAAATTTGGGTACAGGAGCAGTACATTGCGAGTTTGTCAATACCAAGGACCACACTCAACTGTTGTTTTGAATAAAGCTCAAGATGAAAGTTGTGTAGTTGAGTTTGAAAGACCCTAGCAATCACCTGTTGGAACCTTCTGGCTTTTCATTCAATTTGATTAGTCCAGTTTTGGCAAACAAAAGGCCAAGCTTTTACTACTGGGGCAAGATCACAAACAAAAATGTAAGCACAAGGCATGGTTAAGGAAAACAAAGCAGCACCATGGTTGTGGGAATTTAGATTTCAGGGCCGGCCCCCTTCTGTAACTGGCCAAGGCTCCCTCCCCTCTCAAATGAAATTGCTCATGGTTGGATGGGAATCCACTACTTTGACACCACTTTGGCACCACCAAAAGGGGCATCCATGTTTCACAATGCTGATCAGCATTTGGAGCACCGGATTTAGATTTGAGAGCTGAGCCCTGAGTCACTCGATTCTTGCAGACAATTCCTTTGGGATTTATGTAAATGGGGACTCCTGCCACCCGCCAAAAAAGGGAGGGTTGCCTGTTTAGGCCACCTCACTGTCGGAGCACTTGCAGGATTGTACCCTTCTGACAACTGATCACCCACCTGAAATGCCGTCATTCTGCCGTTGTACGATTCAGCAGCACGCCTCCAGGGGCACATGTTATAATTTTGCGATGTACAGCCAAACGCCGTGAGTGCAGTGGCTGGCAAGCATATGGTTTACCGGTTGAAGCCCTTGTGTGGGGGAGCCAAAGGAAGCGATCCCCTTGGAGGGCTTCTCGATATTCAACCAAAGTTCAAAAGTAAGCCCTGAAAGTTTCAACCGGAGAAGTTGGTTCCCAAGGTTTGGACTTCGGGCACTTCGGCCGATTTCGAGTCGAGGCTGGGCACTTCAAGCACCTCAGTCGCGCCATGGGCGTGGAGGATGTCAGGAAGCTGGAGCGCTACTTGGCCCCAACGCGCGCTTCGGGCGGCTGTGCGGAGTTTGAGTTTCTCATGGTTTCTCAAAATCCATAGGGCAGACGTAGGGCCAGTGATAAAGGGCCCATCCATTTTTTAACAACCCTGGTTCTCGTACAGACAGCCGCGGAGTGGGGAGCCATTAGGGGCCATTTGGGCTCGAAGTCATGATCGAACACAATCGTGGCCTCCCAGAATCGTCGGTTTCCTTGCGATTTCCATTCAAATACCAACCAACAGGGGTCCACGATTTTAGGAATTCATGTATGGACCTCCACAATTACATACTATACGCGTTGCATCATGGCATGGAACAGGGGGGGGCACTTTGTCGTCAGATGTGTGGTTCTCTTGCTAGTTATTATCAGGGGCTAGATTGAATTTTACCCACGTTGATGTCCCGATGACCATGACTTTCGTTTGGTACCAAAGAAACTTGCAGCTCCATTGCAATTGTTTGGACCCTTCAGGTAGATGCCATGCCTCAAACGCCCTGGAGGAAGAACCATGGCTTGATTTTAGTTCCCGAGAAGGTACCAAGGAAACCAGCCGATCAAAACTAAACGGAGAAGGGCTGAACACCTGCTGTGGCTCTGATCTCCTAAGTGAGGGCCACTCAAGCTCCTCAGTCGAACAAGGCAAAGCCTGGAGGTTGGAATTGAGAGCTGTAACTTTGCCGTGACTTTACGTGGGTGTGTCTTGAAACTGGGGACCCCCAACAGGGTGGTTTTTCTTTTGGTTTCCTTTTAAAGCCAACAACAAGAGGGTTCCTCCAAAAACGACAAACCCATGTGGAAATCAAGAAGCCATTCCGGTTCTTTGCCCAATGGATTTTCCACGGACCCTGGCGTTTTGATTCTGCCTCATTGGGTGTGCCACCAATTTTGCCATGATCAAAGGACCTGACAACTGGTTTCTGTAAGCTCGTTTTGAATGTGATGTACTTAACACAACCTGTAGATACTTGTAGGGGAACCAACATGCTGGTAGGGAGACACGTGATCAAAGCATTGTTAAGAGTGGGGCCCAGCCCCAGATTTGTTTTTGTTTCTTCCCCCATGATTTTCCGCTTTGTTGGCCACATAAATGAACTTCATGTCATTTGGGGTATCCCTTTTTCATTTTGGATTCGGCATTCAAAGACTTGGTGAATTGGGATTCACAGACATCGTCATCCATCCCAACCAATCTTACGGCTATGCGTATACTTCCTGCTGAAAGCGGGAATCATTTGCACTGACTCTAGGGAGCTCGCCGATTGGAAGGTAAGGCAAGCTTACTTATGATGAAGGTTCTTGGCCTAGTAATTCCTTGTGAACCCTTAATGCAGGTTGATGAATCGCAATATCTAATCAGTGCAATTCCTTTGAATGTATCGTGTAGGGTCTTTGGGGTGGTTGTTCCATTGCGCTGTACACATGCCTAGCAGAGCACGATGTGGCAAATGCAGCTTTAGGGCTGCTTCTTGTCATATCAAAGGAATCCCCTTTAAAGTATCAGAGTAGTCAAAGGGATGGCAGGGAATCCCACTTTGGTATTAGAAGGTTGTTTTTTTCTTTTTCCCCAAGCACATTGCGCGAGCCATCGACGGTTCAACTCATCCTTGCGAAGTTTTGGCATAGGAGCGATCAATCGGGGCTTGGAAAGTCCGGATGTTTCTCAAGCTTCGACTGCTGGCTCTATTTGGGTTTGCCTTTAATAGGGGACCCAAAATAGATGGGCGTCCCTCTAGCTTCGTTCAACAAACTAGCCGACCTCAAAAAAGACACCCATTTTGGTGGTTTCGGCATCATGGACCCAGACCTCTTGCTCCCCGCCTTTTGAAGGGGGGGGCGAAGAAGTCTTGCCAGTCTAAGATGAGGAGACCAACCCTTGGATGCAAACCCATCTGCTTTCAGATCCCAGTTGCTAGATAACCCTTTGCCATTTTTCATTCCCCACAGTTTCCCTTGGTACCTCCTGAGGATGGCTTCTGGCGGGTAAAAAGGGGTCCAAGTGCCTCCTTAGAGTTTTCTTGGACCTTCTGGGTTCAGCTCGAGGCGAGTGGCGGAGAGAGCAGGAAGCGGTGGATCAGCAAACCAGCGAGCTGACACGACGGCTTCGGAATTACAAGGCGGGCGTCAAAAAGCCAGACGCGGACGCCTTCCGGCGGACACGGCAGGGCCAGCCTTGAGCCCGGTTCCTTCGTTTGTTTGGTGTGTTTCTTGCTTCGTTTGTTTGTTCCTGCGTTTGTTTGTTTGGTTGTTTGTTTGTTTGTTTGTTTGTGTGTGTGTGTTGGCTGACCAAGTCTCGACCATGGCTCTTTTGTGAAGCAGACAACGAATGTTGCACGTCAGCACACGCAAGCAAGACGCGGCCCGAAATTGCAACCCCGTCACAGGGTTTGGTCAACAAGGCCCTGAGACTGACCTGGCCTTTTGGACGTCTAGCTTCAATTTTGATTGGACAACAACTATGGGAAAGCAGAGACACTGCCCATGGTGGATGATGGAGGTTCAACCCCTGCCCAATCTGGAGGGAAGTTAAGCATTTTGCCTATGTTGATGCAGCTAATGCTGGTGCTCATTCTAGTATGACTGCTAGTGGCTGCAGTCCGGAAGTACTCAGAGTCACAGGAACGTAGACGTATGCTCAAAGTATTTGCCGTTCAAACAGTCCCTTCTCGACTAGAGTATGTTGCCAACCCCTTCTGCAGTGCCAACATTCCGAAATCAGCGACAAAGATGAGGAACCATTTGTACAGAACACGGTTCATCAGAATTTCGTGTCCGCCTCGGGCACTGCTCCCAACCGGCGTCCACAACAGACGGCCTGGGTAGAAGCTTAGAAGCTTCTGCCTGGTTTTTGTTGGTCTTACCTGACCAACATTTTTGCCAAATGCACGGTGTCCGAGCCAAACTTCTGGGCAAGATTATTATTCAGGTGTTGCCAAATGCACGGTTTCCGGAGCAGCTCTGCTGCGAAAGATTATTATTCATTTGTGAATCCGGTGTGAACTGTAACAAGCGCATGTCAAGCTAAAGCTGCGCCCAGATGACCGAAATCCATGAATCCAGGCTGATTCAACCCCACTTCCTCATTTCTGCCATTGAAAGATTGCTGTTTGGGCGCCTTGACTTCGATAAATAAAAGCGACGGGACCATCAGAACCCTTCCAACATTCCCTTTTTGGTGGGCCAAATTGAATATCGCCTTTTGGGGCAATGGGATGGTTGCTTTTAGAAGGTTGATGTTTCAAAGTTGGCATGCCATTTGGTTGGGGAACCTTCTTCCAGTTGGTGTTTGCAAGAAACCAAAGGGAACCCCTTGCCGCTTTGGAGGTCCCCTGTTCAGACACGCCCAGAAACTATTGTCCCATTGTCAATCCACCCCTTTAGTTGGGCTTGGTAGGGCTGGTCATGAACCCTTCGCTAGTGCAGAAGACAACCATATCAAGCGTTATGGGGGATGCCAGGGCCACGACTCACGGATTCGGAGTTTTGACTGCACAAAGAACGCCTCATTTTCGCCAGGCTGAGATCGCGATGTTGGAGCAGACGCTCCAAGAGCAGGCGACCAAAGATCCGGAGGAGATGGCTGCGAATTTCAGCAAGGAGGACTGGCCAAACAGCCGCGGAGAACGGTGAGAATTGGTCATGTCCCTTATTCCTGGTGATTGAGTCTAGTTGATTCCCACATATCCGGCCATTATGTTCGAGCACCAGCTGTTTTGTTCCCCGGTATTTAATTTGTGGAGCATCTCTGGACAGAGTTTTGAAAGCTAGCGGCAAGATGCGGTACTCCATGAAACTCTGCTTTGGCTGTGTGTTTGTTTCATAGATAAACCATGGGGAACGGAAGGAAATGCACATATGGCGAGGTTTCTCCCAATTCGAGACAAACTCATTTGAGTAGCCTTTTTTCTTCCCGCTCAAGCAAACATGTCTAGAGGTGGACATATCATGAAACAGAGGTAGCGCCACACTGCAGCCGCGGAAGGTTCACGGAAGGCCTGCGAAAGGTTCTTTCCCGCAGAAGCTTGCCCGCCTAGCAAACTTTGTTGATTGCTCTTTCCGGAGTTACATCATCGTTTGCTTTGATGAGCGCATGAAAAGGGACAACGAGGTGCTATAATTTCGTTTGGGGTGGCTTGTGCTAAGCACAGTGCGTTTACTAGCAAATCGCGCACGCGAACTTCCTGGCGGAAGCTACCTTCCTCAATTTCCAGAAGCAACTTGCGCGCGGAAGGCCCGCGGCAACAATTGTAAAGGAACATGCTCGTGGAAGGTTTCGCGGAAGGGGCCCATACATCCATAGAAAAATTAAGGGAATGGAAAGCTTTGAATTCAAGGGCGCGGATGAGGAACCTGTACGTGGCAACGGGACGGACTAGCTTCCTGACGTGCGCAGCACAGTGTTCCTCATATTTCCCTTTGAGGCGCTTTCAAGCATCACCGACTTCAATGCTTTTGGGGGATTTGAGACACCCTATATATATATATATTATGTACACATATATGTATATATATATATATATATGTATGTATGCACATTGCATATGCATACGGTGTAGGAAATCACCCTTCCCCAGTACAGTCTCTCAGTGCTGACGGACCAAGTGACACCCCACAAGAGCTGCAAGCCCTGACTGTCGGCCAACCTGCCAGGCCAAGGAACTGCGCAGCAAGGCGCGCGGATCTCTGCCTTTGTCGGTGGTTGATGCGCCAAATCCGGCACCGGCGCCTGATTTCCAGATGCCTGGGAATGGCCAAACATCGAGTGTGCGAGGGCTCTCTTTCGCCAGGAAGCTGAGCTTTCTCGCGCTTCGGCAGATTTGGAGAAGCAGGCTGGCCGGCCGGAGCGTTTTTGTGCAGGCGGAATATCCGTGAAACTGCCCAGTGGCACCCAGTTCTTCCTTTGAAGAAGTTTCCTTTACGCTCAACCAACCAAAAACGGGCGCCCGCAATTTCTTTTCGTGGCCACTGCTTCGAAGCCAACGGTGGCTGCAGTGAATTCAGGACTCCGAACGACCTGAACATCATGTAATCGCCACTTGCTCACGGCCGTTGCTGTTTTTTGGCCAAATGGCTGTGGCTCAAAAAACCGGAATCCCAAAATGGGTTGCCCTGGTAAGTGGAAACATGGACCAAAACCTGCGGTTGCCCCTCCGATCGTTTAATTTTGAGCCACACCCAAATAGAGGGGTCGACCTCCATGACGCCCAAAAGGACGATTATAATTTGGGGGTAAGCAGACCCGTCTATGTCTCCCAAAAAAGCAAACCTAAGCAAGCCAGCCATTGATGATTTTGGTTCTGGCCATGCTTGGGGGTTGCCGGACACTCATGCCTTTGTAGAAGCATGAGACATCCTACGCATGGCATTTGGGTAATCGATAGCTCATAATCTCTTGTCTCGGAAGGAAACCGAAAGTTGTTTTTTTCTCGGACACCTTATGGGACCCAGGGATTTGTTTAGGACGAGCACATTGGCTCGTCTTGTGCAAGATGATATTCCGGGGAGGCAGCCACAGACCTAACGGCTTTACTGGTGATTGGGAAACACCATTGAGCCATTTGACTAGACTGGGACGACCAAGGGGTGTTGCGGAAGAAGGCGTTGGTTGTGGGGTACGGTATTGAGTTGTATGGGATGTGCACATGTGTATTATATAGAATGTATAAAATATGATTACATATAGTATATTAAATATATACATTGTATACATGGCATGGCGACGTAAAACATCCACACCGAGGTGAATTCCAGGTGGCGGGCAAGATAGCCTACTCAGGGATTCACATGTCTCATGCATCCAGGGTGAACCCAACAAGTGTTGAGAGTGTGTTTTGTTTTCTTGTGTGTTTGTTTGATTGTTTGCTTGCTTGCTTGCATTTTTTGTTTGTTTTGTTTGCTCGTTTGTCTGGCTGGCGGGCTGACTGGTTGGCTGGCTGTTTGTCCGTCTGCCTTCCGTCCGTCCGCCGCCCGCCTGCTCGCCTGCTTGCTTGCCTGCTCGCCTGCTTGCTTGCTTGCTTGCTTGCTTGCTTGCTTGCTTGCTTGCTTGCTTGCTTGCTTGCTTGCTTGCTTTCTTGCTTTCTGGTTTTCTTGCTTTCTTGCTTTCTTGCTTTCTTGCTTTCTTGCTTGCTTGCTTGCTTGCTTGCCTGCGTGCTTGGTTTTTGGCTTGCTTGCTTGTTTGCTTGCTTGCCTGTTTGCTTGCTTGCCTGCGTGTTTCCGTGTTTTGCTCGTTGGTTGCTTGGTTTGTTTGTTTTCTCGTTTGCCTAGCTGCGGTACTCCGAAAGCCCCCCTGCCAATCGACCCCCTAAAGGAGGGGCCACGCGGTACCCAAGCCTCACACTGACCGGGCTACAATATAAACAGTATTGACAACTCAACGTTGACTAGTCTAGCCTCAAACAATGTTGGTGATTGATCATATGGGGGTTGATCACTATTCCTAACCCCCAAGTCACCATGGGTTTCCCATTTAGTGGGGAACGTCATCTTTGTAGAGGTTTTCCCCAATGGTCATCCCAAATAAAGGACCTTTTGATCAACCCCATATCGGATTGCTATGTTCATAAGCTTATTGACTGCCTTCAGGTCGGTGACTGCGAGCAACGCGCCGCCCGCAGCCATGCAGCTGAGCGCGACTGCGAGCGGGTGCGACCGTCGAGTCCGGGTGGTCTGAGGGCGAAAGGGCTACTTCCCTTCTAGATGGAAGGTAGGCCCAGGAGGGTAAAAGGAGATTGTCTCCACAAAACATATGTCATGTGGTGTTTCGGGTTTCATGTTATTTTGTAGTGTAACTTCGATGTTTGCATTAATTATGCCCATGGGTTTATGGGTACTTGCATACTGGGTGTTTGTTCACAGGGGTAATCCAGTCTTCGGCAACACATGGTTGATCCCGTGGACTTGGGTGAAGTTCCTGTGACACTATCAATGTGGGTATTTTGGAACCTGAGGGAACATATTTACAATTCCCGCTCAGATTTGCATATAATGAAATCAACGGTGTGCCTTTCAACAACGACGGTTTTTGTTTAGACTTCATCATTCATTAGTAAGATGTTCATAAAACGGTCAGCTCAATTCTTGCCGCCTTGTCAGAGAGTCAGAGAAGCAAACAAGCACGTAAGGGACTTGGGAAGGTTTTCCGAACGGGAGACATATTTTGGCAGCAATAGGATGACTTTACCAGCCAAAGGAATTCGCCAGCACCTTGCCTACTACCCAATCCCCTCTTCTTTGGCCCCCCGCTCTCCAGGGCTCAAATGGCTGTGGGTCAAGAATAGGTACCCAGATGGAACCCTGGTAAATGGCAACAAAGACCAAAACCTGCGGTCCAATTCCTGCTGGCTTTCATTTTGACCCATACCCCAATCCCGGGCGTCCCTCGGTGAAAAATGCCGCTTTCGTCTTCTCCGCCGCGAGGTGCTGTCGACGCTGCGGCAGCAGGGCAAGGAGATGCGGCAGCGGCTCATGGCTGCGGAGAAGAAGGCGCGAGCCCCATGAGATGAGATGAACACACACACACACACACCAGGCGCGCAGGAGCGAGAGAAGATTTGGCTGGTCAAAAATGGGTAATTACCCAAAATGGAACCCTGGTAAATGGAACCCTGGTAAATGGAAGCAAAGACTAAGACAGCGTAACCCTAGCTGCTTAATTTTGAGCCACACCCATTTCGCCTGCCCTCGGCTTTTTTCAACAGACGTGGAAGTCGAAGGGTCTCTTTGAGAGATCACCAACTTCTAAATAGCCTTTAGTCCACTTGCCTTGTGTGGCGCAGGGCAAGCCTTGACCTCACCAAAGGATTGTTCTTGTGGCCGAACACCCATGGTGAAGGTTCCTTTTGCTCGGGATCCCTGAAAAGAAGTCTCCTCTACACATCGGTACCTGTCGGCGTTTTAGATTTTGCAGTTTTTGAGTGATTCCTTTTCGAGCAGTCATGGAAGAGGACCCTTCCGTTTCAAGGACTGTAGCTTTTTCAAAACCCATCAGTTCGCGGGAATGTTGGAAAAAGGGTACTGAGCCTCGGCAATGGATGAATCCAATCCATGGTATCCATCGACATGTCTTCTCCTAAACTTTGCCGGCTTGGGAGTTGCCATGGTTCCAGAAGGTCAATTGACTCGGGATCGACCCTATTTTGGTGCATCAGGATCAGGAAAGGTGACCCGATCGGTTCCGGGGAGCAAGTCTGTTCATGTTTCATTTCCCGACGCTTTGGACAAAGCTGCCTATCATGTGAGCAGCAGCCTTGCACAACTCTTTGCAGCGAATTGTTGTAATATGCTCCCTTGTTGCAGTCTCAGTGTGAGACAGCAGCCTTATTGCTTGGCATAGAAACGTTGACCAAGCAGTCAGGACATTCTGAACAATCTTCGAAACAACGCCGAAGAAGCACACAAGCAATAGGTGCAGCATTTCAAGCTCACGGCGTATGTGGTAACCTGTCACGGGGCCCCATTCACATGGTCTTTTTGGCTCCGACTGGCCGCCTTTCGGTTCCATTGCTGAGCAGTTCGAGGCAACCGCAAGAGGACCAGCGCGACCCACTGCCACTTTAGGTCTGGGTATGTTGACGCCTGGTTCTCCGCGGTCTCCTTGGATCTTCCCCAATGATGTAGCCCGAGCAACCCTCTGAATGGAGCTACTGTGCGGATGGTGTCCTCTTGGTTCTGCGACAGCTCTCTCCCCCAGTTGGCACTTTTGAGAAAGGTCAGGTAAGTAAACAAACCGAGAAAAAAAAAGGGCCTTTGACCAACTCCCGTGGTCTCCCACCGCGACAAAACATGGGAACCCTCAAAATGCCACCACGCGCTCCGCGCTCGGAGAGCTCGTAAAACTCGGAACCCGCCCCGTGAGGTGAGCGACCTGGGCTCCGAGGAGCAGGCGACTTGCACGTGGCGCGTTGGGTGGATGCTGGTTCATGGTCAACAGGGGAGGATGACAAAGTGGTCGTGGGAATGGACCTTGGCTTTGTATATGGAAAACAGACATGGGAATTGTTCAGACAACTAGTCATGGACGACACTGGCTTTGTGCGGCAAAATCGAAGATGGTACAGACAACTGCAATATCCCTAGGACGTGAATCGAAAGGCCTCCGTATTGCAAATAGTTGGCGTCCTCAGTCGAAAAAACCGTAGTCTGAAGCCACCGGTGTGTCCAAGAGGAATTGGTCCTCCAAAGACGCCGTGTCGCGCTCCTGTTGGCCTTCCGCTGTTTACCCCATCCCCTCTTAAGGTGCTATTTTGTCGTTTACCATCAGTCAGACTAGATTGGACCCCAACTCGATGTGCAGATTTTGACTCCTGAAAACGCTGATCAGGGGGCTCGTTTGTTGAGTTGAAGAGACACCGTTGCTAAATCTCGCCAGTCCTTCCAGACAATCCGCTATGTGAAAAAAAAACACAAATAACAATCAAAACAAACAAACCTGGATTTACCACGCCAGTCCTTCCAGGCAAGCCACCATATCAACCAGGATTTTCCGCCTAAGTCTTACATGATGGTGAAGATTGCCTTATTAGAAAAATGTCAGCGCCCCCAACGCAGTAGTTCTTGTTTCTTCGTGGAGGTGTGCCCAACTTCTCCCTAAATTCAGGAACGGCAAAAGGACCAGCCTGTGGCTTGCCTGGAAGCACTGAGGGCTGACTTGATGGCCAAGAGATGGCCTAGAAGGTAGCCTCCCGCCAAACATGTCTTGCACGGATTCTTGGACGACCAAACACGTCATGCGCAGATCCCCGGAAGACGACGTTTCCCTCTTGGACTGGGATCTTGAGATCCCCTAAAGGACCACGTTGCCCTGGGAGGACGACTTCCGTGAGGCTCAACCCTTCGGCCTGCCTCGAGCCTCAGGGCCTGGTCAGCGCCCGGTCCAACATCCTTCGACAGAGCCTCGTGGAAGGCATCGAGGCGAGGAGGACCTTGGACCAATTTGTGGGTGGTACGATGCGGCGATGGTCTCGCGGTGTTTTTCTTTTTTCAAGCGGAGGATTATGCAGAAGACCTGCAAAATATATCGCTTATGTGTAGTATTTGCTCAGAGTCTTGAGGAAAGGCCAAAGATTTCATGCGAGCCTCCTCTGATTGATGTTTGGGGAACCGAGGAACCTGGTGAATCAGGCATATTTGTGTGTCTCACGGACTGTGCCTGCATTGTGCACAGCTTGCCTGGACTTGTATCATTTGTGCATTGTTGTAGTCGGGCATAGTTGATTCAAAAACTTAGATTTCCTCACACTATCGCACATCATCATCGCATATCATCGTTAGCTCACTTATCATCGTTGGCTCAGTGGCAAATTGCTGGGATTTGCACACTTAGGTATTTTTTCTACTACGTGCAAAGTGGGAAGCAACGTATCACCTGCCTTCCAGTTGATCATGTTAAGTTGATCAGGGTTGAGGTGCTTCGAACATGGCCATACAAGGAAAGTGGTTCACCCCAGAGGTGCTCAGGCTACATCAACGGTACATCACAGTGCATGCCAGGATTCCTATCTTGGGTGCATGGTTGATCCTTTTGAATGTAGGGCCACAGTACCTGAATAAAATAGGCACTCCCATCAAGATCTCTGGCTTTGATGGCCTAGTACCTGCCTGTCGGACTCGCACAAGAGACACTGTCTAGCACTGTGACACATTGTGTACCCATTGTGTATGTTTTTGCCTTTGCAGGACTTTGCAGAGGCACTGGACAAATTGACAGTTGAGCTTGTCTTAAAATGCAGGTTTTCTCTAGGCGTTCCTTCAAATTTTACCTCAAAGCCCCACACATCCAGACTGGGCACAGGGTTGAGCCACAAAGAGCATCCGCTAAAAATCAACTGTCCAGACAAAGCCTGAGTTCGCCACAAGTGATCCGCCCCATTGTGGATCCGTTTAAGGCCACCTGAACCTCGCGTCTCTTTTTTTTCCCGGATCGCGAGCATCGCAGGTCCCGTTGCTGCGGGGCGGTGCCCAAGCTTTGCAGGAGCTTGCCGAGGAGTCGCCGAGTGGGTCCAGGCTCCCCATATTTTATTTCTTTGTGCTAAGTGGCCATGGGTCAACAGCCCGTACCCCCAGTAGTGAACATCCCAATCACCCGTAAAATAGACTAAAATGGGTGGTGCACCTACCCCAAAATGGTACCATTGGTTTTGACCCACAGCTAAATCTGCCATGGACAAAACTCTGAATCTGTGGCTAAGGGTCATCGATACCTTAGGAGCCCTGACTTTGGTTGTCTAAACTCCCCACCGGGGGGGTGGATGACCATGCCCCACGCCTTTACACCATGGAACAGGAAACAAGTGAAACCATCAGCAAATTCAATTTCCCACAAAGGACACCAGCAAGGGAGTTGGGGTGCTGTTGTGTTTTGTCAGACCCCCTGTTCAATACCCAGTTTCCCCGAAGGATTGCTTCAAGCATCGCTTGTTGGTGTCATGTAGGGAGGTGTTCTTTTCAGTGACGACATGGTTTGTTCCGCTCTTCTCTCTGCCCGTTTCTACGATTTTTGTCTACCCTTTGCTCAGTTTCCGATTTTTGCTCTTGGATTTGTTCCACTGGCTCCTCCCGGATTTTCTCAGCTGTTCTCTCCGCTCGTTTCCTCCTTTTTCCTCTCAAGCCGCCCCTTTCATCTTGTTATCTTCATGCTTCGGACTATTCTTTCCTGGCTCTTCTTTTTGCTGTTCTCCGCTCTTGCTTGCTTTCCCTGCTCTCCTCGCCATCACATGGTTTCGACATGCAAAGTTTTATATGTTAGAGTACTCAAGGATTTGGGTGTTGCCCAAGTTTCAGAATCCCCCCAATGCTTGGCCTACCCGTGCTTCCATGTGTCTGAGCGGGCTTCAACAAGCAGCACCCACATGGAAGTGAGTTGCGGCCAATGGCGGCACTTGGCTTGCCAGTTGACAGCCCTGGACGCCCTTGAACTGGATACGTGATGGACCGGGGTTGGGGGAGGATCCCGTCTCTGGAATAAGCCAATGGGGCTGGAATGAGGCCATGACCCTCGCCAGAAAGCGACCCAGAATGCATTCAGGAAGTTAACTAGGTCCCCCTTTACCCTTTTTTGGGGGAGGGTTGCCCTACTAAAATAGACTACAGAAAAAAGGGTACCCTTATTCTAACATCTCTACTGGAGGACCTAATTAAGCCTCAACTCTGCTGGCCAAAAGCAGCTCTACCTTGCCACTTGCCACACCATCCAACTGAAAACCTGCCAGGCAGCCAAATGTTGAGCACACCGCCAGAACTTTCTCTGCACTGAACACACACTAGCCAAACGTCAATGTTCCTGACGCTCACTGGGCACATGACCACCAAAATGGAAGTTCGCCCCACTAGTCACCTGTGTTGAGGTACTTCAAGGTACCCCAAAACTGCCGAAAATCCGGCAACTTGCAACGTGTTGAACGACTATTAATTTTGTGGGACTGCTTGTTTCGAGATAACGAAACTGTTCTTGAGACTGCTTTTTGGCTGGAGATCACACAATCCGGTTCCTGGCCTGGTTTTTGAGGCGGGGCCAGTGCTAAACTTGTATTTCGATGGTACTCTGTTTCAGGTTGGCTTAAAGAGAAATACAGAGGACCTCTCTCATTTACACAACCATGTGCAGACGTGACAGGAGAGCCAATCAGCTTCCGCGCCCACCCAGCAGTCTCCCAGCGATGCTGCGAACAGCATTTTGGTGGACTTCTCATTGCTGCCGGAGGAGCGGTGAATGATGGTTGGTCCGCCGACTGAAGCAAGTTGAAACTGTGGAGTTCCTCAACATTGCAAGCAGGGCACAAAAACGAAGTCCTGTGTCTAGCTGCCTAGTCAAATTCATTGCGTTATTCCGACTTTATTCATTTTGGCTTATCAGGGCTGACCCAACTGCGAACTGCGAGAGAGGCGCCATGTGCCGACAAACAGAGACGAGTCGGCAATGCTCGGCTCCCCCGAACTTGGACCCTCTTCCAAGGAACAAACAGGGTCCAAAAGATGGCCCAAAGCAAAGGCAACGACTTTTTTGCGGTGTCCTAGAACATTTCAAGGAAAGATGTCAAAGGGACTCTAGATTCCGTGGCAAAGGGAGCTGAGTTAGTGATGACAATGCCAAAGAGGACTTACGCATATTCAACCGGCCGCGATTTTCGTGAGATGTTTGTGATTCCAATGGGATCTCCCCATTGAAAGGGACGAAGCAAGCATCGGGACCAGATGGGAATCTACTTTGGGTGAGATAAAAAGGCTAGGTTTTCACGAAGGCGCACAGAGGACCTGAATCTTGGTTTTCCAGGCCACCATTTGGCCCAAGGTGCAACAAGGCTGGCTCAACAGGTTGGTACCCCTCTCAATGCCTTCTTCAGGAGAAGCAAGCGGCGTCCCACGGACCCGCAGCTCAGATGCTGGAGGCATTCCGAGTTTCAGCTCGGGCGACGGGGATGAAAGAAGCCCGGATGATTGCGCAAGGATCCCCTCGTTTGGTGGGGTCGTTTGATTTTGATATTTGATTGGCGTCTGGCTGATGCTTAGTATACGGCTGTAATTCATGTTTGCAGTGGACTCGCACTCACTACTGAACCGCATTTGAAAAGTTTCCGCTGCCGCGTCGCAAGCCGAAACCTGTGCGCGTTTGGCAGTATCTTTTAGGGGAGGTGTTTTGCCCCGATCCATGGTCAATTTGGGGTTCGGGGCATCGGGGCTCACCCATGTTCCTGCCCGTGACAGGAACTCTGTATTTGAGGACCGCTTCTCATGTGGAGTCAAGAAAATAACACCATGCACTGACACCGCACATTTGTCAGGGGTGGCAGTGCCCCCTGTGCTTTTTTTGGGAAAAAGGCATCCATCAGCCAAAAAGGGTTTTCCCCTGAGCGACAACCCCACCGTGGCAAATTACAGGGTTTCCCTTATACCCCTCATTGCAATTTGCAGAGCATCCACCAGGCCTTGCAGGGCTTATCGATGGCTCATCCTGCCCCTCCCGCTCCCCCACCCCACCATAGCCTTCATGACGAATGAAGTCATTTCAAGCCCGCGGGTCAACAATCAGGAAAAAGGTATGCCAAAGCCGCCTGCGCAGCCCAGCTTGTGTTTACGGCGACGAGTTCCGTCCTCCAAGACACCAAGACTCCTATTTTCGTTCTGCGGAACCCCTAGATGGTGGGTGTGCATTTTTGTTTTTTGTTTTTTGGGGGGTGCATTTCTTACTTGCACCCTCCCGCAGTCGCCAAACGATTGTGGATGTCCGTTTTGTCTGCCTTCAAATCTCCATTTAATTGGTCCGCTGAGCGCAGTACAGATGAGCAACGACCAATCTTTACGAACATCTATTGCTAGTAAAGGGCATGACACGTTCACGCTACAAATTCCAATACGATTTAGAGTTTGACTACTCATTAACATAGAATTTGGGGGACACCTGCTGAATATTGACTGTCCCTGAACCTCTAGAGGAGCAAGGGGCGACTCCAAAAACGACTGGACTACTGCTGACTTTAGGGTGTGGCTCAGATGGTTCTGAACGTTCTGCCGCTTATTCATGTTAAATATGATGGAGTGTTTTTCCCGGATGTGCGCGAAAGGCTCGCAAATGGGGTTTGGGGGACCTTCAGCCCACTCTTGCAGCCCTGGAGGATCTCTTTTGAATTTATTCTTCATTGGGTTCACCGATCCCGGCTTTTCTCGACAGGGGAACCTGAAAACAGCTTGTTTTCCTTCCGGCTTCCCTTCAAAAGCCCCCAAGGGGTCCTCTTTCGTCGAATGTCTGCACCCGTCCTTGTCAGGGAAGACCTCGGTGACAATATGCAGTGCCATGGTTAGGGAGCTGCTTAGGGATGGTACCCCCGTTGGGACATGGCACTCACCCAAAGGTCTCGGGAAGGGAACGACCCCTCTGAGCCATCCGTTGCGATTTCTTGTTCAGGGGATCCTTCCCAAATCCCTATAATGATTCTTTGAGAATCAGCACCATCAGGTCCCTTCCCTCTAAAAGGAACCCTTTGGGTCTTGGTTTGGAGCCCCTCTAACTTCCCTCTTAGACAAGACAGCTAGCTTTTTGGCGCCCGAAGATTCCACCAGCCAGCCCCCCTCCCCCAATTCCCTGTTCGACCAACTAGCTTTTTGGAGCCCAACCAAATCGACCAGTCCCCCCACTCCCCCCACGCCCCTGCCCCCCTCCCCCTGCCCCCCTCCGCCCCTGCCCCCCTCCCCCCACCCCCCCCCAAGTCCCACAGACATTGCCAGGGGGAGTACCGCGCGGAGCTGGACCGCTTGCACACGGAGCTGGAGCGCCTCAGCCCCAACTTGAAGGCCATGGACCAGCTCCACAGCGTCAGCGAACATCTGCAGGCCCAGCAGCCGGGCCCGGTGGATATTTTTGCGTTTTGTTTTGGTGTGGCACGAACCTCTGCCCGGGGGACATGTTTTTGCGTTTTCCTTGTCGTGTTTGTGTTTAGCAAAGCAAACAAGACATAAGCAAACTACCCCCAGGTGTGCGTTTTGGCATGTTGACTTTGTCGGTTCGACAGGTAGCTAAAAGGGGATGGGTACTTGTAAGTGTTGTTTGTTTGATCACCTTTGCCCCGTTGTTGTCAGGATCCCATGTGATGAATATAAGGGCTAAACAAATTGCACACATGATCCTCTGGTCATGACTTGAGTTGGTTTTCCCGTCCCAACAACTAGTTGTAAAGACCCTTACAGCACTCCCGCAGACTTAAACTCAGGAGTTTTTGGTGTGGGGACAGCCGAGGGAAAAAGACTAGCTAGACAGCACTTCTAGTCAGGAGGGGGTGCGTGCAGGGTTCCCGGGCTGCTCTTGTTTTGGAAGCTTTCATTTGGCTGCTTAGAAATGTTATTGCGGGCTGAATCTGCGACTTGGTTCTTCCAGATTGCGACCCAACATCAAATGATGTGGCGGATGGGCGACACAGGCAAATCCATTTTCCCGCTTTGTAGGAAGCAGTATGAGAGCATGACAGGACTATTGACCATAGCTCACTCAACTGAGGAACCAAGACTAGTTAAGAAGCCATTTGGTTGTGCTTTCGGCAGCACTGTGTTGCGAACGACTACGTAATTTTTCTTGGATGTAGACATGAGGGGCTCAAAGTTTGGACCTATAATGAAAACCCAGGATTCATCAATCTGCCCCTTGAAAGCAGACGTGGGCCATGCTGATTGGGGTTCTGCGGTATCTTCAGGAGTCACGTACGGGTTGGACGCAAGTACGCATGGCAAGGGGCGTTTGGAGGCTCCCCCGAAGCCTGGGACAGGCTGCTTCGCATGAAGCCGACACGGCGCGAAAGAGCATCGAAGAGATCGAGGGGAAGTTCGAGGCCGTGCGGAAGTCCCGTAAGGACGGGCCGCTTGCGACGGCGCTTGGGAGCGATGCTTGTGACTGCTTGAAATGGGCTTGTGTCATGGCAGAAGTCCCTGAAACGGGCTTCCAACTGTAACAACCTCAAAAGGTCACCATTAAACAGCAGACAAGTCACGGCCAAATGGGACACCGTTTTGTAGAACGACCGAAATTGTGAATCCGCAGCACAACGATGAACACGAGGGGCTATGGAATGTGTTTGCGCTAGGTGGTGATTTTATTAGCAGCTGCCAACATCACACCAACGGTTAAGAAGGGGTTGAGTGTTCCCGAACATTCCAACCCTGCCATTTGCCAGACGTGCCACAATTCATGTTGGAGATGGCCACCCACCCAGCGAAAGACTACTGGAAACTAATTCTGGGAAAGAGGCCAATGCGCCATGCGCCAATTCTTGATCGAGCCCAGAGCAGGAATCCAGCCAGCAAGCATGGTTTAAAGTGCACTTTCCATTGGAAAAAGGCTTTCTCTTTGAAAATGGAGGCTTCAACTGCCACGTTTTACACACCAGATCCCCCTCACCCTGTTTCGCCTTGTCAAACATCTTAAAGACAGGGGGAGGGAAGCTCGCACGCCGCTTTGATTTCTGCTTCGCACTTCTACGGTTGAGAGCTGTCCAGAAGCTTGAACGCGAAAGCCAGGTGCCAAAGGGGGTGGCAACGTATTGCTTGGTCAACTTGCAGGAATTGACTTGATCGTGGAAGCGAAAAAGGAAAACCTACGGCACTGCCAGATGTGCTGCTTGGTCAACTTGCACTATTTTCCGAATCACTTGTAGCCCCTTAAGAAACTGGCAGGGTTTTCCGCCAAAACCACACACACTCGGAGGCCTTTGAGCGGCAGACTGGCTATGGCCTCCGTTGGGGCTCCATATATGCAGTACTTGTTTGGATGGTTTAAGCACACAGGCCGGACAAATATATGGATTTGTCTTAAAACAAGGGACGCCCAACAACAGATTTGAATGAGCTGGCCCTTTTGGTTTCCTGTTGACACCAAACGGCAGTTCTTGTTAAAAACTTAACTTACTGGAACAATGATCAGTCCTCTAAATGCAGATTTTCCCTGTTTGAGCATGCATACCAAACTTGCCAGCAAAAGATGCGGAAACTTGGTCCAAAGGTGTTTCCTGTTTCACTCGCGTGGGCACCCGTGTTTTTGTGGGTTCCCTTTTTAAAGCGATATCAAAAGGAACACCAGTGTCTTGGTGTCATCTGTATTTTGACACGCGCGGCATCGCAGGAGAAGTTCATGGATTGCTTCCAGAAAGTCTCTGCGGCCATCGGCCCCGTGTACCGACGCCTCACTGCACAGAACGGCGCAGATGGCGGATCCGCGTATCTGGACTTGGAGGATCGGGGGTCAAACCCGCTGTCGGTCAGGGGGCATGGGCATGTATTTGGGAGGTGTGGTTTGTGTGTGCGTGTGTGTCCGTGTCTGTGTGTGTCTTGTTTCTTCGTCCGCTCGCCCGCTTGCTTGCTTGCTTGCTTGCTTGCTTTCTTGCGCGAGTGCCGGTGTGTTTGGGCCGGATTCTTATCGGCCATGACTTTACGTGTGTAAGTTTGCATGTGTGGCAGATGCTTCAGGTTGCATCCCGCAGGCATCATTATGTTTGCAGAGTTCTAGTTTCGGCAGTCAGCATCACGGTGAAGCAACAATTTGAGACATGCATCTTCAAGGAGCCTGCTGAGGTAGGATAAAGAAACACCACACACTAGCAGCATCTTTAAGATGTATTTGTATATGCATGTGTACGAATGATTGTGAATGTTGGCTTTTCGATGCATCCAATGAGAGACCATGTAAGGTTCCTCAAAATGCGGGACTTCACATTCTTTGGATTCCTTTTGCTGGCCGTCTCAAGCAGTCCTGGGCAAATCCTCGTGGCCAGGACAGCGAAGATCCCTTCAACGGCGGCATTAAGGCCACCTACTTACGATTCGCTGGACCTAGCAGCCGCAGGGGAACTGAACCTGCCCCTGCCTCATGCGAGAACACGAGCGATTTTCCTCAAAATGCCTGTTTCTTTCCATGAACCCTTGACCAAGACTTGTCTGGGAGTCCAAAAAAAGGGGTGAATTTCTTGCAAGGCAACTCCCGCCCCAGGAAACCCTCCCTCTTTTGTTTGGGGGGGCCCATAGCACCCGGCAGGGTCCAACACCTCCGATTTTTTTGGCCGCGGGGCAGTTCACGGCCATGCCGCCGGCCAAGCGCTTCCGCGACATGCATCTGCTTTCTGGGGGTGAGCCCGGGGCCCCGGCGCGAGGTCCCTTTGGGTCGCTCGAGGTGGGTGGGGTGGGGTGGGGTGGCGTGGGGTGGACTTTGGCGTTCAGTCTTTTTGGGGCTTGGGCCGGTTTTGAGGGTATTGCGCCCCGAAACTTGATAAAATGGGGCGGGGGGGGGGGGGGGGTGAGTAGGTCATCAACTACGGAGAGCTTGCTCTAAGCCCATCAAGCAGCAGCTCAATGCACGGGTTCGCGCTGCAGTTTAGATTGGTAGTACAGACAGAACAGGGCTTCCGATAAGCGCCCACTTTGATAGTGAACGGCATTTGCAAGCAAATTAGGATAGGGTCTGGGCATGAACATTGAATGCAAACCCTTTGTTGGGCATCATTCAGTCCGCCAACCATTGTGGAGAGCATGCCAAATTTACAGATACGGTTCGAGCTTGGGTTTTGCTTTGTCTGTTCTCGTAGGGAAAACGAACATGCCCCCGTTGCGGCCCTTCAACCAATGATAAATGGATCCTGTCCGGAAAGGTGGATCCTCCCATATTTCCTGTTTCTTACAGAAGTACTTTCATGAAGATTGGCATGGAGAATCATTATTGGAAATAAGTGTTCTTGATGTCATTTGTTCTTGGTTCAGCTCGAAAACGTCGAAATGAGGGCTCGGGTGTTCGGGGAATGGTTCCCACCAAAACCTTATGCATGGCGACGTTTGCCTTCCACAACGTGATTTTTGTCTGGCATGTTAGTTGGATCGATCCGGAGGGCCATATTCATCAGAGGACTCCCCTGACATGAACCCATGTTCCACTAAACGGGGAATCACTCCTGATCAGCAAACAGTGATTTGGAGGTCCAAAACGGCCATGCGCTTCTTGTTGTTTCCCTTTAGACAATGATGAAACAAGTATCCTCAAAAAGCAAGCCACATTCATCTTCGGCCTGGCAACCGTTGTTTGACCTGGCGATGTTTTTCTTGTCGTTTCGTTTTAAACCATGATGAAACGGGCATCCTCAAAAAACACAGAGCCACATTCGTCAACCGTTTCCTTTTAACCCATAATGAGATGGCCTCAAAAAACCAGGCAGCCGCATTCATCTTCAGCCAAGGAAGACCTTGGCTGCCATGGCACTGCTCTTCGCAGTGCACTCCTTTCAACGCCCGCCCTTCATGGTGCTGGATGAGGCCTGGCGACTTCCAGAGGGGGGCACAACACGTGGCCCCTCTTCTGGGGGGCCAGTCTGGGCCGCCCCCCCACTTTTGGATCAGCCAGCCAAAACCCATGTGCACCGCTGGTTTGCCTTGTTCAGGTTTGTGGGAAGGGCTTGACTCCCGCGTTTGTGGGACCAGGGTTTAAACCCTGCCCTCAAATCAGAAGAGGGTAAGTTCCGCGCCCCTGGCCTTGTGCCCTTTCACATGAACACCAATTGCTTTCAATCTGAAACTGGTGTTCAGAGAACGGAGGGAGTTTGAAGTCCATGCTTGGGCCAACTGGGCACCCCCATTGTTGCGCGCTACTGTTGCGAGCTGGTTGCCCAAGTCTTGGTCTGCATTTAATCATTTGTGTGCGGCTCTGTGTGTGTTTTCCTTTTCTCTGTCTTTGCGTCTCTTCTCTGTGCCTCTGTCTCTCTGTGTCTCTGCGTCTTTGTATCGTTGTGTCTCGGTATCTCAGAGTCTGTGCGTGTGTGTGGGGGCTCTCTCTCTCTCTCTCTCGCTGTCACGCATGTCTGTGTTCTTGTTTGTGCGTGCTTGTGTGTGTGTGTGTCTGTGTGTCTGTGTGTTTGTTTGTTTGCTTGCTTGCTTGCTTGCTTGCTTGCTTTCTTTGTTTGCTTGTTTGCTTGCTTGCTTGCTTGCTTGCTTTCTTCGTTTGTTCGTTTGTTTGTTCGTTTGTTTGTTTGTTTGTTTGTTTGTTTGTTTGTTTGTTTGCTTGTGTGTTTTGTTGTTGGCATGTGTCCGTATGTGTCCTTGTGTCCTTGTGTGTTTGCGTGAGTGTGTGCTTGCGCGTTTGCGCGTTTGCGTATTTGTGTGTGTGTATGTGCCTGTGTTTGTTTTAGTGTGTGCGGTTTTGCATGGTTTCGCTGTGTGTGTGTGTGTTGACATACCCCGGAGCCCCATGAAAGGAACCCTCGTCATGGGTAGGGGAATGCTCGAAAGGTATGTTGGAGTTTCTGAAAGCGATGTTCCTCTCGTTTCCATTTCGTTGCCCTCGGTCGCTCCGTCAGGTGGATGCTGCTCTGGATGCCAACAACGTGCGGGCTTTATCGAAGTACGTGGAGCAGGTACGCCCAGCAAGCAGAGCCATGAGGGCATCTTCACTCCGAAGGTAACAAACTTAAGGAAGGGGCTGCTTTAGCGTGCCAAGGGGCAGTTCCTTCCAACCATACGTTTTTTCGTTGTGGGTTGGGGGCGATAATGTATGGAGGGGGCTTCCATTATAGAAGGATCTGGTCAACTTTCATCGCGAGCACTGATGAAGGCTCCTTTCGAGGTGTTTCGGATCACAGCGACTCACCTCAGGCTTGCCCAAAGAAAGCAATATAAAAATGAAAAGGAATTAGAACGAGATATAAAAAGATGATGACATGTAACTCCCAATTAAGCACTATTTCATATTGGAGTTACATGGTCAACAGTTAAAATCCCAGGTATTACACCAAACAAACTTTACAATCCTAATCAAATATGCTGTGTGTAGTAATCCTTGACCTCAGGGTCTATCCTTTCCACAAAGACACTTGTCTATTTATGTTTACTTCTTCTTTAGAATTATTATATTGTGGAAATCTATACATTTAGAAGTTACATCAGATTCATGTTGTTTTCTTATTAATATTTCTATCTTATTGATCTTTGCAAATATTCCGGGGTCAGGCGACCTCTCCGCAAGAGGCGTCTGGCGTCTGCCAAGCTGTGGTGGCTCCGTGGGGCGGCGTGTTTGGTTTTTCTTTTCTCGCCACCCCCGGAGCGCATCATTGCATCGCCATGGCTCGCGTGATGCTCCCTGTTCTCATGGACGAGGCCAAGGAATCCTTCCGCTGTGCGTGTTTGGAGGCTTTGCCCTTCATCCACGCTCCGTGCTGGACTTGGTGTGGGGCGCACCTCTTCTACGTCGTTGTGGTCTCGCTCGACGTTTGTGAAGCTTGCAGCCGCTTGATCAGTCCGGGCCTGCCTCTGCTTTTTGGGGAACAGCGTCGTGTTGGCGTGGTTGGCGTCTTCACTACGCGCTTCGCGCTGGATTCTGTGACGCTTCTGCTTTCGCCTGGAGTGTTGGCGCGTTATTTGTGCAGCTTTCTGACCCTGGAGGCCAGCACACAGCAGCAATTCAGCCGGACCAGCTTATTCTGGAGCCATGGTGTGTATTATTGCTCGCGCTTCGAGTTGGGAGGCTTGCCATGTGTGTATTGTGGCCTTTCCTTGGGTGTCTGTCAACTGGTGGATGCATTTGCTCGGTGACCTCCTTTGCGTGACTACGAGCCCACCTCCCAAGGACACCTTGAATGGATCGTGTATGCTTCAGGGTGCATTGATTTGGGCCTGGGCTTCCTGTCTACCTACTTGTTGGCAGCGGCAGCTCCTTTTCCTTTCGTGCGTGGTGCTCTTTTCTTGCGTTATTCCCGCGTGCAGGCGAGGTCTTTCTTCGGAAGTTGCGCATCGCATTCTGCTATTTGCAGAGGGCCGAGTTTTTCGTTGCCGGGGTTGTGGGGGAGGTCTCCTTCCTGAAGGTGTTGGGCTTGCTGTCTGCTCTCTTGGCGGGTCGTCTTGTGTGTGTTGTGGCGCGGGTCACCTTGAGCCTCGCAAGGCCTCAGACGTCCCTGCTGATTCCCTTGCATGCTGTGGTCGGCTGCTGTCAGTACAGGATGGACTACTTTCTCTGTGTGTTCGTCGCTGGCAGTGCTTTGACTGTTTTGTGCAGCTTCTACGCTTTGCTGCCTTGTGTAGTCAGTGCTTTCATCCGTTTGCATAGTTTTGGTTGCTTCCTCCCTGAGGAGGTTCTTGGGATGTGGGCGGCCAACTGTGCTGCCCACTGGGGATTCTTCCCCTGGGTATGTCTGCGGCTCTATAAATCGCCGCTGTGTCCGCGCCCCATGTGCCGGAGTGCCGTGGTGGCTGCCCATCATGTCTCGCGAGACGCCCGGGCATCGAGGAAGATGAAGGCTCCTTTCTGGGGTCCCTCACGTTGCTGTCATAATTCACCCAGCCGGATCAAAGGATTATCCATCAACCCAGCTTTCAAGGTGAATGCTGGGAGGGGGCAGACAGGCCAGTCGCTTCGGATCCTATCGTGTCGGACAACGTCCATGCCGATGTCTCAGCTTGACAGGCTGACTGCCAGACCATCGTGATCTCGCTGAAGGCGTGTGGCGTGTGCAGAGATGTTTGAGGTGCATGGTATTAAGCCGAACAAAAATACAGTTTGTGCTTGGACAATGAACATCTTGCGGACCAGCAACCTGGGTAAACAGACAGTTTTTCACCAAGCCTTGCCGCCAGATCCAACCGGCAGGATCGCTTCTTCATCCGAGCAGACGCTTTGGTGGGCGTGTGGAAGAATAAGCCGCAGGCGAGGTACTTGGTGCATGGGTGAAGCCTCATGTGATACGGACGCAAGCCTGCCTGAGCCCAACACCATCATCTTCGTCATGTTCAACTTTGGGAGTTCCAACCTAGAGGCAAAATTGAGCTTGATTTTTTCAAGCTTTTAGCTCAGTCAGAAGTGGTTGCATCGACATTCCTGAAATGTTGCAAATCTAAATGTTTCACCAGCACATCCCTGTATCATATCCCCTAACAAACACGGGGTAAAATGCACTCATCAGAGGTCATATGTCAATGGTTTTGGTCTGTGGAGGAAATGTTGGGACCATCCGTCCGCTTCCTTTTGGCTTTCCTGCGTTGGTTCTGCCAAAGGAGTCGGATACCCCAAAACGAGGCACATGCAATATTCGCCGCATAGGAGACATCTGCCATCCTCACATTGGATCTGACCAAGTATGCGGAGCGCGAGCCTCAGACTCCCAGTGTGTGGCAGAGATGCGTCCAGCTGGACCCAGGTCGTGAACTTCCGGTCCGAATGAGCCATGTACATTTGTGACACCGAGCCCCCGTTTCGGAACGGAGTCAAGCACAAGGAAGCCAACCATCCGGGAAGCTCCCTAGGTTGCGTTCCTTTTGTTGCTTGACTTCCAAATGGTTCTGATGGTTGGCTACCTTGTGGTGCTTCGAATGGTGCTGATGGTTTCCTTTTGGTGACTGATGGCAGTTGCTGGTGGTGGCTTTTGGACGGCTCAAGCAGCACCTATGAGAAGCGGCTCCCACTTGCAGATACCTGGCTTGGGGAGAGACGTTGCGGAGGTCCTGTGGGGACCTCTGACCATGTGGCAACCTCCATGGCTTGTCCTTGCTTGCAGCAAGGACAATCTTGTGTCGTGGAGCTTATTCTTGTAACCTGCCTACACCACCTTTACAAGCAAGTTGAGAGAGAGAGAGAGAGAGCGGTATTTGTATGTACATTCACTTCATGGAGGCAAGCAACGTCCGAGCCACAAACACTTTGAATTCATCATGTGCAGTGCAACTCAATGGACAAACTGTCCAGGTGCAAGACCATGAAAGCCATCACGGAGTAGATCAAACATGGCTTTGGACCTAAGAACGGAACATAGTCTGCATCATTCTACCCAGGAGTGATGCTTTTTGATTTTGATTTAAGAGGGTTGACCACTCCGTCCTGGCAATGATTCATCAAATGTTAGTTTGTGTGCGGCAGGCTGTCTTGAACCTGGATTCGTTGGAACATAATGCACGTCGGGGCCGATTGTCCGCAATCACCGAGCGGCGTGCTCTCTGGCATTGCTTCACCGCACTGGAGAGCAGAGAACGCGCGCCTGAAGTCGTCTCGAGCTGACAGTCAAGGTCATTCATTTGTTGCACTGTAGCCTCTTTCTCTCCGTTGTACAACGGAACCTCCGCCTAGTTGGTTTGCTTTTGCTTCCATTTCCTGACCAGGAGAAGTACAAGATGGGCTCTGACCAGGCTTCCCGTTTGACCCCTATTTTGGGAACATACAGGATCCCTTTTTCCGGGGTCATTCTCTTAGAATCGGGGCTGGGGCTTTTGGCATGTTGCCGTTGTGACGTACCGCCACGCACCATTTCTGGCAGCTTCTTGTGCTCACATGCTCGGCGAGGATCAAAGTCCAAAAAGTGAAAGGCCCGGTACAAAGTTTCACATAACTACGTTCCATGACAAAATGAAATACAAAGCCAACGGGTCCACTAAAGATGAAGAGCAAAGAACAAGGGTATTCCTGTGAATCAACGGTCACTTCCTTGTTTGTGGGGATGTGCAGCCCAGCCACAAATCAAGACAAAGGACATTTCGAGCACTAAATTCAGGTCTGAGCCTGAGCTTCTATTTAGATACAATACAACTGCCTGGGGCATTGGAGTCGGCCCCGGACCAAGAAGGCGTTTTGTGGACGATATGCGGTATGAGACCAATCAACGCTCCCTGTGCTCAAGAGAAAACTATTCAAGCCAACGATATTCTCGATATGTACGGGTACATACTGAAGTGAAGGTAAGGTCCAGACCAATAGCCGAATTACTCGTCTCTAAATTCTATCAAGCAGGTTCCAGCTTGCATCACATGCCAGACGTGTGTCTCTTAGCATCCTAGACCCCATTGATCGGCACCCTTCTCGGGTCACCCACACTCCATGGCATAGCCGTATGTTGGACTTCCTCGATGCCGCTGCTGGGCGCTTAGACACAGCCGCGAAACTGGCAGGCCAGCTACGCAAGATGTTCTCGATGAATTGTCTTGGTCCCAATGGCGTGTGTGTGTGTGTGTGTGTCCGTGTGTCACCAGCCCATCACAAGACACTCCATGCATGAACATCTCAAAGCGCAAGGCTGCTACATTGTTTCATGCATGGCTTGGCACGGCTCAAGCAGTGCAGCCAGCATGCGAGAAAACATGTAGAGAGTCTTGCATGAGGGACACATTTGACAGGCACCAACATGTTCAGTCTTGGCTGCAGATGTGGCGGCAATGTCGACGGTTCAGCAAAACAGCAATGCTCATTCTGCAAGGTGTCTGGCAGAATGTTTGCAGATTCATTCTTGTCAACATTTGAGACCACTTAAAGCACACCGGCGTTCCTCAGTTCTGTCTACAAGTGAGAAACATGTCATAGACATGTGCCGCCACTCGGCTTCACAACGTTCATCCTCTGCGCCATGGTCTGAGCAGAAATGAACTTCTCCATCTTGGACAGCGAGGAGTCGAAGAACATCGCGGTGGTGCATAAGACCAACCAAGGCGCGCCGAGGTTCCATGGGTGCGGCAGGCGTAGATGGTGTAGACTATGTGATGTGAAAGTGTTTATGTATGTACTATATGAAAGCCATGCTCATGTGTTCAGTGCAGACACATGATTGGTCTTAAATCTTACCATACCAGTTTAGGATGTTGTATTTGTATGCATATTAAGCAAAATACTATATTATGCACACACGTACATAGTCGTATACATCTGATATGTATATATGTTTCTCTATGTGAGCCCATGCCCACCTTTTAGCGTTGACTGGCTGCCCTCCGGGGAAGGCGGCAGGCTGCATGGCCTGTTTTTGGCCCTTTGGGCTGTGCCCAATCGGTGCACATAGCCCAGTTTTCCATGTGGATGGGTATGAAATCCTCTTAGGCACCACCCAAGAAATCCTGGAATGATGCCGTAACAAACCAATGGTTTCAACCATGTTTCAAAGTGGTGCGAAATGGATTTCGTCCATCCACAGTAGCATGATGGAAGCCGCTTTTGGGAAGAAGTCTCCACAAGCCTGCGCCGTAGGCTACTCCGGAAAGGACCTCTGGAAGCTCAAGCAAGAGCGGCCCGAGCTCTTCGGCGTTGCCGCAGTGGCTTGGCGAAGCGGACGACTTTGTCAGAATGTGTTCCTCGCATGTTCAATTTGGACCTCTCCCAATGAACCCCGTTTGGGACGCAGTTTCAAGCAGACCAAGGGAAACCAAGCATGTGACACTCTGATTTGACATTCTGGTCAACTGGGTCCAGTGTTAAAATTGTAGGGTTCATGAAGTCAAGGGTGACTTTGTTGATGGTGATGAGACAGGGGGCCAGTCCAGGCGTTCCTTTTGCAGCCATGCTAACCATTGGCAGACACGCCCGAGTGAGCATGGCAGACTTTCCTCCAGTTCCTTTACGGTTTCTTGGTGGGAATGGTCTGGGTTAAACCGCGGTTGCGGAACATGTGTGTTTTAGCTCTGACAAGTCCCAAGGAAGACTCAATCCAGGGGTGTCCTTCCAGAGAACCAGCAATGCGTTTGGATTCTACGGCTCTATTCATTTTAAGTTGCGGGGCTTTTTTTCTATCCTACCAGGGGGTTGGATGTTCTTTCCTGAACCAGAATGTGAGGGTGTCCTTTTTTGAGGTTACCCTTTTTCGTGGTGGTTTTCAAGGGAAAGCAAAGGAACAGTCAACATGTGAGGGGGTTCGTTTCCTAGGGTAAAAGCCACTGTTCAATTGCGAGTTTGCAGAGGGCACGAAGGTCCCGCCAAACAGTATCTCCAACAGCCAAGGGTGGAGGCCACCCAATTGTTCCAAGCCCGTTTGGGAAAAGGCGTATTTCTGCACTTGGCTTTTAGACCCTTTCACATTTGGCAAGGTATCAACGAGCCACTACTTGTCCTGAACAACATCACCCATCATTTCTCGCCCCTAAGGACACCCATTGTTGGTTTGGATTGGACATTTGAACCCCTGGTGGCAAAATGGGAAGGTGCCTCTCACCAAATCCAAGTGAGCCACAATCAAAACCCGGGTAGATGAAGCTTACGGGACAATCGCAGCCATAAATGGGTGCCGCCTTGCTAATTCTTGAAGCATGGCTCTAGACCATTTTAACAGTAGTTCAGATTGTCGAATTGCCTTTAGTCACAATAGAGAGACATCATGGTGCTTACACCACAAAGCTAACTAAATATCAAAGTTCAACACCGGGTTTTGATTTTGACTCACGAGGCTGGGCAAGCAAACAAATTTTGGGCCAGGCGCAGAATGGCAAGCCCGCCCCGCCCGGCTTTGAGCAGCTCCGCGAGATGCCGGGGTCCGTGCCCCAGAGTGCGTTCCATCCGATGTGTTGGTGTTTTCAAAGAAGAACCAAAAGGAGAACCTCCCTTTTTGGCGGGGTCCCAAAAAACAAAGACGCGACATGACGCGACCAAATGAATGTTTTGGTGGGGTCCCCCCCAAAAAAGACGCAACCAAATGAATGTTTTGGCGGTGGGGGCCAGGGGGTTTAGCAGACCGGGAAATGGCTATGAATTTGAATGGGCTTAGATGGATGGTGAGCGACCATGCCTCAAGGAGGAAAGCGCACGAAAGGGTTCTCAGAAACATCATACCCAAATGGAGTGTTTATCTTGTTCCCCATGGTTTAAAGCGAAACCATAATTGTTGGTTCCCTGTATTTTGGCACATGCCCAAATGGGCGTGCTGTTGGTGCACTTGGGGTGGTTTTGCGCGAAAACGGGGGGAAAACCCGCAACTTCTAGGCTGACCCATCTCGGTGTGAGTGCCACTTTCTGTGATCAGTGGAGGGTGGAGGTTTTGAGGCCCCCAGGAAATAAAGCCTTGTATAGCCATATATGAGGAAAACCCTCGGAATATTGCGAGACTCAGCCTGTGACATGTTGCCCGTTTGGTTTGCCACCCTGGTTTCCCTTCAACAGGTCAGAACCCACAAGGGGTGTCCGTGTGGAGACTTGGAGTCCATATTTTGTTTTGGGGGCTGCACATGCGAAGGTGGCCTGGGGCGGCTTCCAAACGAATTCATGGCTATCCAGGAATGTCCCCCTTTCCCGTTCTGGGTGGAAACAACCTTGGCGGTTCTTCATGCAGTATCATAGATGATAGCATGCGGCTTCTCACTGAGTTGGTATAGCTGCCCCCAACGAGAACCCTGATCAGTACCCCCCCCCCCGTTATGTATCAATCATAAATTTGCTTGTGGTTGGCATCCAACGGAGAGTTGGAGGCCGCCTGCTTTGGGCCCACTGGTTCCTGCCACATTTTGCTTAGCGAGATTTGCTTACCGCTTTGTCCAGTGTGCTGGCCGGGGTCGTGTCACTGTTTTTCTGAGGTGGATGTATCATAGAGACAAGGCATTGTACTTTCAGCGCGTGGGGAGCTTAGTGTCGCCTGGAGAGTTGCGAGAGACATGTGTATCATGTAGTTTCCCCCTCAAACTCGACCTTGAAAACCTCGTAGGGAACCCTGAGAAGACCATTTGAAACAGTGCACGCCGGTTTCCGCGCAGGAGACAGGTGGTCTTATCAGCCGCAAGTGAGAGTGTACACACCAGAATCCATGTGTGACAACTATGTCGCGTAGCCTATGCCACATTCGGCGTTGAGGTGGTGCGGCGAAGAGGGAACGGACTTCCAATATGGAAACATGTGTTTTGTTCAGGACACCTCATGTTGGTTTGGTTTTAAAGGGAAGCAGAAGGGAAATCCACCATTGCGTTCCCCAGCTTTGAGACAAGCCCACACAGGAGCCCTGTGCTCAAAGCTGCGAGGAAAGCGGGCTGCTGTATTGCCGAGATCCTGCCACCAATGAGCTCTATGAGCTGCATCAAGGAGAGCTACGAATGCCGTACGTGTTGCAAGTAGGGCTCGGGGAACAAGGGAAACCTACCATTTCTCGGAATCCGCCAGGGTTTTGGGCTTGGATGTGGCTGGTTCCACTTGCGCGAAATTGCAAGGCAACCAAAGGCGCTATCAATTCTAATTTACCTCCATAGCTTTGCAACCCCCGATCCCCTTGTTGAAGCGGAGGACCCTGCCGAGGGGGTCAGAAGGCAAAGCCAGGTGGGTTCCACTGGCTTTGCTTGAAATCGCCAGCTGGAGGAAATTCGCAGTTGAAGTATTGGAACTAGATGCTCAGTTCCACGAAAAATGAATCGCCCCCCAACAAAATTGGGCTTTGCAGTTCCCTTTTGGTTTCCCTTCAATTGGGGCATGGGCGTTCCTTCCGCAAGTTGAGGACACGCCGAGATAGACCCTCCCGCCTTTTCGGTTCGATTGACCCTGGCAGGTGACTCGGGGTTGGCTTGAGTCTCTAAACTTCCCCAGAGTTAGCTCCCCCGTTTTGTGTCTATTTTTGCTTTTTTGGAGTCCTATTGTTTTCCACAAACCAGGCAAACATAATATCTTTTTGGCTGGGGTCCTAATTCCATCCTAGTAAAGATGACCAAGCCAAAAGGGTAGGAAATTGGCCTAGTTCCCTTCTTTCATCAGGGACCGTGCGGCCCATGCTCCCAGGGTCTTTAGCACAACCCTGTGAGTTGAAGAGGGCAAGTGGCACCACTCTTGCTGCCTTGGTCGAGTAGTTCCTTGTCGACAGGATGTTCCCAGACACAAGCCGAACACTGTTTTAACGCTCCCATCTCCCTATGCAGGTCCAATCAAGCTTCGGGAAACGGACTGAGGTTCTGTGTTTCTTGACATTGTTCTCATGAATATTTGCCACACATTTCTCACATTTGCTCTAGGTCGTATACATCTATTGCATGTCCTGCACAATATATGTTAACACTAGGAAACCAAGGGAAACGCCCTTCAAAGAGCTGAAAGGTCAACTGGTTGCTTGGCGTGCCTGGGATCCACTGAGTGTGTGTGTGACGCGCAATACATACAGTATACATATGCTGTATTATATCCATAAGCATACTAGATATCTATGTAGATATATGTACGTCAACGTACATTATACATATGCATACATATATATATATACATTATATACATGTAGACTACATATATTTATATATATACACACACACATGTGCACACATGTGTATTGTGGAGTGGACACGTTTGCTTTTCGCAGGGGAGGACTACGGCAGCACCCTGACGGTGCGGGGCGATGCCGCGGCTGTGGCCGCCAAGGGCCAGGCGCGGCCTTCGCCCGGCTCGGGCGTCGAGCGCGCCGCTGGTGACCCGCCCTTCTTGTCCTCAGTTGTTCAGTGGCACCCTTTTTCCCTTTATTTTTGGTGGCTGCCCCACTAAAAATGGTCTTCCCCAAAAAAGGGTCCCTTCTTTTCCTGGGTCACTGAACAACTGAGTGTCGGTTCCAGCCAGAGTTTTTCTAGTCATTTCAGGGATGCTAGTCATTCGGAGGTATTTACCTCATGACATAAGCCTAGTTTCTCTAGTCATGACAGAAGTGCAATTTTGTTTTTTTTACACTTTTTGGTATTTAGGTCATGTCTCACACAAATTCAAGGGATGAACGAGCCACTACGTTGTCGGGGTTCTGCTTTTGAAATCAGTTGAATCCTCCGATGTTCAACCAAACTCACCTAGAAGGACACCTATCAGAGGGTTCCATACAGCCTCCAGCTAGATTAAGATGGTTGGGAGTTTTTTTTCTTCCCCAAAGCAGAGGGAACTCCAGGGATACATGATTTCCCGAAGGGAAACCGGGTTTCAGTCTGCCCCTGGAGTGATACACCATGGAATCCTGCCGCTTTTTGCCCTGTACAAAACGATACTTTGGACTCTCCAAATCTGATCGCCCCGCGGTGGTTTTCCTGCAAAAGCGTAGGATTTCCGTTGGAGGTATGGCCAACTCGTCCCGCAAAGAACCCCTCATGTTCTGTTTTTCTTTTGCACATACAACATACTTTGCTGAACCTGCGTTTCGCTATGTTTGCTCCAGAATCTAAACGCACATTTTTGCGGGGGGAGAAACACTCTTTGAGGGGCTCTGTTTTTTATTCCCCACAATGACCACACCTTTACTTTTGCGGGTCTTTGGGATTCTGTGGATGCGAGCCTTCAAGTTTACGGCGTGCTGGGGTAATCACATAACGAAGGACTGTTTTTTCGGAAGCTTCTTTTCAGCTTGTTGAGCTTCTGATAGATGACACAACGCCAAAAGTAGAAAGTTAGATTGGTTGCATGTTTCGGTTCCCCTTCACCAGTGGCCAATGTGTTGCCCTTGACCTGGGTGCCTTTGTGTGTGTGTTTGCCGAGTTTAGGTGAATGTAAATGTTCGTTTGGATGATGCTCAAAGCTATCGCTGGTCAGTGTTGCTCTGAGCCATGAAGTTGACCAAGGCCGGGGATGTATTGTGCTCAGACCCCAGTGCTCGAACCTTTTGCTGGGTTCCGAAAGGCTCGTGAGAGCTTCCTTTGAAGTGAGGTGCCTGCTCTACGATTGGAAGTTCCTGCGATTGGAATGGAAGCCTAATGTTCAGGGGAGTAGCTCTGGTTGATGGCAAGTTTCCCTTTTTGATGCGCTGGCACAATGGCCAGCATCATCCGGTTGTCAAGACGACAGCATGAGTTGGGAAATATTTCTACTGAAATTCTGAAAGCAGAGTGCAGAGTGCCGATGGTTGCCTTGCCTAGCACCTTCGAGCGACTGATATCCGTGGCAGCTGTGGCTGCGAGCCTATTACTTCAATTGACTTTTGAACGAATACCCCTACGTCATGCTGCGAAGATATTCCAGTGATTGACGCGGCGATGAAGGTGCCATTGGGCCCAGTTATTGATTACAGTAAGCGCAGGGGTTACTTGCAACATATACGCAATGCCATCATTGGAGAAGGCAAAATATGTGTGACACCTGTCAACCTCCGCATGTCACATGTTGCCCACGTGTGCCTTGATCCACGCAAAAGACTGGGTGCTGGCTGTTCGGTGTCAGCTTCGCGGTGATTGCAGCAACAGGCCAGCCGCAACGTGATCATCAACGACCTTCACCGAGCTGCTGCATCCATGACTCTCAGCTGAATGATTACATTGATAAGACATGGGCCCGCCATGCAGATCGACTCATGCTGAAAGATCACAGAGTCACGTTAGGGCCGTCGACGCATTGCTACGCGGAAGCCGCTTGATACATGCCGCATCGAATCTTATTTGCGTGCTTGACGAGTATTCTTAACCCGCTTTGTCTGTTTGTGGAGCGGTGCAGCTTGTGCCTCCAAGGAAATTCACGGGAAGCTAGCCCGAACCCACATTTGGTCGGTACTTGGCCAACTGTTTGTAGAACTGTTGGGCAGCAGCCACTGCAGTGGTTTCGGGAGCAACGCAGTGCTGTGTTCCGAAGCCCAGCGGAAGCCCATTGAAGCTTGTCATGGCGCCTCTTCAAACCTCGTTTTGAGCCTGAACCTGTATGAACGTTCACAAATCAAAATGTGTGCCCATGCAATTTGCATGAATTCGGTGGGCTTGTCATGCTAACTGTCCGTGTTGAGTATTAATTTTATGCATAATCACACGTGTCGGGATATGACACATTCGGAGCTGCGTTTGAAAGAGGCATTTGTAATCAACACCATTGCAATGTATAAAAATGAATAGCCTCCAGCACGCGTTCACATTTTCCCGTTGCGTTTCCTTTCTTTCCAGCCACTGCTTCTGGGTGGCCTCGACCGAACTGGAGAACCTCATCCCAGTGGCTTTCCTTTCGACGCCCTGTTTGAAGAACATGACCGGGCCCACGGGGCCTACATTTCCTACAGGGAATCCAAAAGCGGCATCCAAAAGCGACCCCACCTGTGGGGGAAATGCCGCCAGTCTTGGGCAAGAATTGTTTGAGCCAACAGACTTGGCCTCCTTTTCACGGAAGCCCAAAGCAGTTTGTTTCAACAATGGTGGCTTAAACATCTCCCGGCTGCCCAGTGGCACCCATTTTCCTCTGTGTTGACTGGCTTTTCCGTTAGAATCAGCCAACCAACCAACAAAGGGTGACCCGCTTTTCCCCATGGCCAGCAGGGAAAAGGCCATCTTTGAAGGGGTAAAATCGAACCCATTTCAAACGCCGCCCAGGAAGCTGGACTTTTCTCACCATGACAGTCCTGCGGCCATGTTTGCTGTCTACGACGCAGCTTCCAACAGCGAGCACACGGAAGCGGCTGCGAAAGGTGCGGGCTGCGGGCAACAAAAAAAAAGGGAGGCCTCTCTACCTAGATGCGGGGTTCTTCATGTGGCGCAGGCTTTGGTCCATGTTTCCACCAGGGCAAGCCATTTTGGGATTCCGGTATTTTGAGCCACCGCCATGAGGCCGCAGGAAACCGACAGGAAACCGAAGCGCCATCTTTAGGGGTCCTTCATGCAGTGCCTCTGAGCTTCGATTTGGCTCGTGGTCTTTTGCTTGCCATGGTGTTGGTTTATTCTAGGTGTTTAAGAGGTAAAGATAGGAGAGACAGTAAGACCCGTATCCTTACCTCCCAGGATGGTTCTTAGACCCCTTCACAAAAACACATTCTAGAAGGTACCAAGAACCTTTTGCGGGGGTTGGGCGGCCTGAGAGGGCCTTTGGCCCTTTGCCTAAGGTCACTACTACTTGGAGTTGTTTGGCAAGTGCCTTTGTAAGACAGCCAACAGCACCTTTTCTGGAGATGTCTCATGCGTGTGAAAGAATTTGCAAGTTGTTGCACTCAGGCAAAACCCATCTTTAAACACTACAACAGTGGCAGACGCGCTGGCATGTATTGTTGCAACTCGAAGCTTGTCCTTGCTGTGTGAAATCAATACACATACGTATGTATGTGTAGAACGTACATACATACATACATACATACATACATACATACATACATACATACATACATACATACATACATACATACATACATACATACATACATACATACATACATACATACATACATACATACATACATACATTAATATGTCGAGATTACTAGGACTGCTACTATAGCCAATAATAGTGGCGCTGAAAATGATAATGTTTATATGATGATTATGATGATACATATATATATATATATGTACAACTATATATATATGTGTGTGTGTGCAGTCTGTTTGATTGCCATCAGACGTTTGTCGCCAGGATTGCACATGCAACTCCTGCCTCGTTTGGCTGCCTTCCGTGGGCGCTGGCAGAACGACCGACTGCAAGGCGCTCTCTCCGAGGCCATCGAGCACTTGAGGCCATCGAGCATCAGCGAGCGGCATTCTGCACCGAAAGAACGCAGATTTGGTTCATGGTTGTGGAAAAAGTGATACTTACCCCATGGTTCATGGTTTCTTTGGTTCATGTTGTGGACCATGGTTCATGGTTGAAGTGGTTGATTTGGTTCATGTTGTGGACCATGGTTCATGGTTTAAGTGGTTCATGTTGGGGACCATGGTTCCTGGTTGAAGTGGTTTATTTGGTGCATGTTGTGGACCATGGTTCATGGTTTAAGTGGTTGATTTGGTTCATGTTGTGGACCATGGTTCATGGTTTAAGTGGTTTCTTTGGTTGATGTTGTGGACGATGTTTCATGGTTTAAGTGGTTTATTTGGTTCATGGTGCGGACCATGGTTCATGGTTGAAGTGGTTTGTTTGTTGCATGTTGTGGACCATGGTTCATGGTTGAAGTGGTTTGTTTGGTGCATGTTGTGGACCATGGTTCATGGTTTAAGTGGTTTGTTTGGTGCATGTTGTGGACCATGGTTCATGGTTTATGTGGTTTATTTGGGTCATGTTGTGGACCATGGTTCATGGGTTTAAGTGGTTTGTTTGGTGCATGTTGTGGACCATGGTTCATGGTTTAAGTGGTTTATTTGGTTCATGTTGTGGACCATGGTTCATGGTTTAAGTGGTTTGTTTGGTTCATGTTGTGGACCATGGTTCATGGTTTAAGTGGTGTATTTGGTGCATGTTGTGGACCATGGTTCATGGTTTAAGTGGTTTATTAAGTTCATGTTGGGGACCATGGTTCATGGTTAAAGTGGTTTATTTGGTGCATGTTGTGGACCATGGTTCATGGTTGAAGTGGTTTATTTGGTTGATGGTGCGGACCATGGTTGATGGTTGAAGTGGTGTATTTGGTGCATGTTGTGGACCATGGTTCATGGTTTAAGTGGTTTATTAAGTTCATGTTGGGGACCATGGTTCATGGTTTAAGTGGTGTATTTGGTGCATGTTGTGGACCATGGTTCATGGTTGAAGTGGTTTTTTTGGTTCATGTTGTGGACCATGGTTCATGGTTTAAGTGGTTTGTTTGGTGCATGTTGTGGACCATGGTTCATGGTTTATGTGGTTTATTTGGTGCATGTTGTGGACGATGGTTCATGGTTTAAGTGGTTTATTTGGTTCATGGTGCGGACCATGGTTCCTGGTTGAAGTGGTTTGTTTGGTGCATGTTGTGGACCATGGTTCATGGTTTAAGTGGTTTGTTTGGTGCATGTTGTGGACCATGGTTCATGGTTTATGTGGTTTATTTGGGTCATGTTGTGGACCATGGTTCATGGGTTTAAGTGGTTTGTTTGGTGCATGTTGTGGACCATGGTTCATGGTTTAAGTGGTTTATTTGGTTCATGTTGTGGACCATGGTTCATGGTTTAAGTGGTTTGTTTGGTTCATGTTGTGGACCATGGTTCATGGTTTAAGTGGTGTATTTGGTGCATGTTGTGGACCATGGTTCATGGTTTAAGTGGTTTATTAAGTTCATGTTGTGGACCATGGTTCATGGTTTAAGTGGTTTGTTTGGTTCATGTTGTGGACCATGGTTTATGGTTTAAGTGGTTTATTTGGTTCATGGTGCGGACCATGGCTCATGGTTTATGTGGTTTGTTTGGTGCATGTTGTGGACCATGGTTCATGGTTGAAGTGGTGTATTTGGTGCATGTTGTGGACGATGGTTCATGGTTTAAGTGGTTTGTTTGGTTCATGGTGCGGACCATGGTTCATGGTTGAAGTGGTTTGTTTGGTGCATGTTGTGGACCATGGTTCATGGTTTAAGTGGTTTATTTGGTGCATGTTGTGGACCATGGTTCATGGTTGAAGTGGTTTATTTGGTTCATGTTGTGGACCATGGTTCATGGTTGAAGTGGTTTGTTTGGTGCATGTTGTGGACCATGGTTCATCGTTTAAGTGGTGTATTTGGTGCATGTTGTGGACGATGGTTCATGGTTAAAGTGGTTTGTTTGGTTCATGGTGCGGACCATGGTTCATGGTTGGTGGTTTGTTTGGTGCATGTTGTGGACCATGGTTCATGGTTTAAGTGGTTTGTTTGGTGCATGTTGTGGACCATGGTTCATGGTTTAAGTGGTTTATTTGGTGCATGTTGTGGACCATGGTTCATGGTTGAAGTGGTGTTTTTGGTTCATGTTGTGGACCATGGTTCATGGTTTTCAGTGGTTTATGGTTCATGGTTGTGGAAAGTTAGTAACAACAAGCTTGGTTTGATCGCCAAGACCTTGTTCATGGCGGCAGATTTGGTTTATTGTTTGGTTTGCTTTTTTTGTGATACTTTAAAATGATAAACGAGTCATGGGGATGCGTTGGTATCACAGAAAAGGGCATTTTCCAGATCCATGGTTTGGTTTGTTGGGGTTCGACATGGTTCGACCTTTGCAGTTGGGCGAAAGTAGACAGGCGCAATTCCTTCCCGTTTTGGTCTGGTCATCCCTTTGCTTGCCCACATAAAGGGGAATTGTGCCATGTACATTCTTCGCCAAAGGCCTTTCGGCCTTTGGACATGCGAGTCAATTCAGAAGCTTCAGCCTTTCGGTGTCAAACTTGAGACTTGTTCAGTTGGATTTAAAGGGACACCAACAGGAAACCAACCATGCTTGTGGTTCGCTAGGTTTTACCTTTGAACATGTAGCTTCAAACTGAAAGCAACAACCAATCTAATTCATTGAGTTTCCCATCAAGAATGACCACCACCAACGACATATTGTGAATAATAATCCAAGTGCTTCCGTGGCTCCCGATGCCCGACTTTGTTAACTTAGGTAAAGCGATACTCATAAACATCGCTAGGCTGCTTTTAATTAATCTGCTTACTAAAAGTTGTATATACATCAAACCAACTTGTGTATTATTTCGTTTAAGTACTATAAGTTGTATATATATAAATATATGATCAACAGAATTTGCTTGCACACATCATACAGAGCCACATAAGTTCGATGATCCGTCGCAGGCAAGAGCTCGGTGAAACGGGCGGCATCCCGCTGGCGGTGGCGCTTCTCCTGGGGGGGCGACTGACCATGGCGGCCACCGGCGGCGCGGTGTGCATGATCTTCGGGCAGGCGGTTTGGCCGGGGGCTGCCGGGAGCTAGGCTACACTGAGCTGACGAGGTGTGAAAGGGGGTCCCTTTCAGGTGTTGGAAAAGAAGGTTGGCAGAAATTGAGGAAGCACTAGCAGGTGTTGGAAAAAAGGTAGGCAGAAATCGCGGAAGCACTACATATCACAAATAGTCAAAGTTATTGATAGGATTCTAGAAACACATGACATGGTTTGCATACCTTGATTTCACCTAACGGACACCAACAGGGGATGGATGTTTGTTCCTTGTTGCCAGACCCATTTTGCAGCTACCAATCAGGATTTCTGATTGGCATATCTCCAACAGATGGTTCAATCAGCACCATTTGTTTTTTGAGATTGACTAAAGAAGGATTGATCTGTCGGGTTGATAAACTTCCAGCTGCTTCGTGGTAGGTTGCTTCATCAATTTAGTAAAGCCTCAGCACGTTCGACTCGGGCAGCTCAAAGCGCGTGTTTCTGCATTTTTCAACACCAAGGGGCTTCCCAATTTTTGGAGCCACGAGATAGCCAAGCCCGTGGCATTTTTTGGTTTGGTTGGTGTTGCTCCCTTCGAGGGACTGGTTCGTGTCTGTCCTTTTGGTGTCCCTTTCAACAAAGCAGGGAAGCTTACGTACAGGATGCTCCTCCTTCCTTGCTATCAAGATTTGGGTGTCTCCAAATAGCGGGGGCAAACAACTACCTCATGGTTTGCTTTTTTGGATGTCCGGCTTGAACACCATCCAGTGGGACCCGTCCTATTCCGACGCACGGACGCACCCCCACGGCGCCGACCCCCGCGACTCCGATTGGCAGGTGGGCCAATCCGATGGGAACGTGGACAACTTGGAGGTTGCGACTGGGACTTGAGGTGAACCGACCGGCAGACAAGCTGTCCTGTCCACTTGGCAAGCTTTTCTTGCTGCTGCTATTGGTAGGAAATGGGAATGAACCTGGGGATTCCCTTGAACCACTTGCGATAGGTAGGAAATGGGAATGAACCTGGGGATTCCCTTGAAGGAAACCACCAGTAGGGTGGTTTATAGGGTTCATTCCCTCATTCCCCGATGAGCACCAGCAAGTTTGAAGTGTCTTTTTTTGTGCGCAGACGTCTTGATTTGAGTCCAGGTACAAAAAGTGACGACTTTAGGCCTGCAATCTTAGCGGGGCTGTATGTTTGGCTTACTTTAAACAACAAAATGTTCATTGAAGCTACAGGAAAGACTTTACGATTTCTTCCTCATATTGCATTTCAGAATGGAGCTGCAATAATATGAGTTGTTTGTTTCATTTTGATTTGTCTAGCTTTTTATTTTCTTAGGGGAAGGAAGGAGCTTGTTGAACCAATGGTTGTTCTGCGTGCTTAAACACGGGGATGGTCCAATCCCCGAACCCCTCTTCGGATTCCAAGGGGGACTGCGAACCTTCCGTCCGTGCCGACTGCGTTGTGATTGTTCGGGCCAAAAACGGGGCGAAAGCGATGAACACATTTGAATCTCCATTTCGAGCATCATCACAAATGCTGCCCGGATGCCCGTATCGTACAGATATCTATTATGCAGATACTTCGAAGAAGTTGCGCAGTTGCGCAGACTTGTTTTCGCTTGCTTGACTGCGGTTACCGTATGGATCTACTCGCTCTCCAGGTGGGCGCTGACTCAGAGGCGACCACGCACTGCGCGGTACTGGAGGACGTGGTTCCCTCCTCCCCTTCCCGCAAAACAACAAAAAAACGGGACCATTGAAAGGGCGATCGCAGTGTCCTGCTTTCGATTCAAGTGGAAGGGGTGGGTTTCGGGAAGCGGTTTCTCATCATCCAGAGGTTGTTACGACCAACATGATTCTGGCGACCACCCTCGCATCGGGGCTTTATCAATCCGGGGTCCACAGTAGTTCAGGGCCCTAGAAACCATCCAAAACCCCGCCCCTCTCCTAATTTGGTGGGCTTCACATTCTCCTTTTTGGGGTCCAACAACTCTCCGGCTCCATGAGGCTTTGTGCCCAATCCCTGGGCTTGAGCCACTTTCTTGCGCTCCCAGGACAGCCACCTGGGGGCGCTGCTCACCGTGCAGGGCGTGCGCAGCTCGGGTCTGTCGGCCAACCGCATGCGGGCGCTGGCGCGGGCCCACACCATGGCGGACCGGCCCCGCGCGGGCTGCGTGTCCTTGCTGGAAGAGGCCCAGAAGGCGCCGCCGGGCACCGGCGGCACCTGGACTGCCTGGACCCTCAAACTAGCCATAAGAAAGGGATCTCACCCCATGTTTTGGGGCAACCCTCCCATTTTTAAGGGCAGCTTGAGGGTCCAGGTACCCTTTTTGGGGTTGGTGCGGGAATTCAAGGGGAACTAAATTTGAGGGTTGCCCTACTTTGAGACACACCCAGTTGGGTGTGCCTCTTCGTTTTGGCTCGGTAGACTCGCAAGCCAATTGTGCCATTTAGTTTCGCAATGTAAAAAGGTTGTACCAAGAGTTTTATATAGAGGCTCTTGTGCAATCTTGGGCTATGTTGGGGTTTCGTGGATGTTGGTGTTTGATAATATAACTGAGTTTTGGCAGAACCTGGCGTGGGGTTTCCCCAACAAGGGAACGTTTTTGTTGTTTGTGTGTTTCTCCGAAAATCGAATGCTGCAACTTGTGATTTTCACGATATGATCCTAAAAAGGGGGACGGGTTATTGTTTCTGCAGGGCTGCCTTCACTGTTCCAGAAATGTGGATTGCATTTGGGTTTGGCTTTTATTCTCAGGCCCTTCGGATCAACTGACAACATGTTCAATGATGTTTAGGCATGCGGTTTGTCTCAAACCGGGGAGCCCCCAAAGTGTGCACAGTGTCCTTTGAGTTCCCTTAAACACGCAAGCAAATCGGATACCCTGCAGAAAAATCGCCCATTTGGGATTGTCTCAAATTTGGGAACCCCCAAAGACAGGGTACAGTACCGGACAAATTGTCAGTTTTCCTCTTGGTTTACTCATTTTTGTTTACCCTGGGTTCCCCCCCACTTGTCCCTCTGGAGGGCAGTGCCCTGAGGCGGGGGGTGCACCGCCCTTGGTGGCGGCTGCAGTGCGCTTCTCCTGGTCCAAAGGCCGGCTGCAAAGACTTGAAGCCACTCCAGTGAATGTTGGTTTTGCACATCCCTCCATCCAGCCAGCCAGCCAGCGATCCATGCATGCATATAGTGTATAAGTATATATATATATATATATGATGTATGCGCACAGGGGGTACTTGCGCCACGACATAACGAGCCCTCAGATCCCATCGCTGAACCCAGGTAGCCAGCCCAAGAAGCCCAAGACGGACACCACCAAGGTGCGGTGCCGTCACCTGCTCTTGCGGCACGTGGGCTGTCAGGCAGGGGCAGTTGCCGAAATCTGCCGAACGGAAGCAACGGCGCGGTACGAAGCAGAGCCAAGCTGCATGCGGGGGAGAAAAAAACACAAAACAACGGGTCCGGAAAAGCGAATTACTGTGCACACCTGCACACCAACAAGGAACTCGGGCGAATTCATCGCCTTGCGGCATGATTCCAGATTTGTCCGTGTCTCTTTTTGAGGGTGCCCATTCTGGACACCAGCCTGCAAGTACCCATTCTAGGGGTTCGAACATTTTGAGACTGACCCACTTGCAGACATTTTGCCATGATGTATATGTTTGAAACATCCTAGTGCATGGTATTGAAGTTCATGCAATGCATTGCAATGATGCAATGCTCCTCAACAACGAACGGACATACGAGCAACGGACAATACTACCAGGGCATCGGTGTTGGGCGTGGCCCCCGTCGCTTTCGCAGCTTGGTAGGTTAGTGCGTTTCCCTTCGCTTTCTGATGGGTATTCACATCGCTTCCTATGATATGAAGCAATGATTCCCATTAAGGGAACCGTGGCCCAGGAAGTTTGACGGCGCATGTTGTGGATGGACAAAGTCCGCATCGGATGCACCCCTCAGATCAACCACCTACCAACTGGCGCCTCGCTTGTCTTTTGAATTTTCACAGTACGGGTTTCGAAGGCATTCAGAAGGCTTAAGCATACCACCTGGCTTTTTTTTGCCTCCAAAAACCACGCCGAATCCGGATTTTCACCCCCCTCCCCTGTGCCATCCTTTTCCCATCCCATTCGAAATTCATGGAACCTGACTCAAGCTTGTCGGCCTCGTAGGCGCCTTTGGGCGATCGGCGCAAGAAGCCCACCCGCAGCGCGGGGGAGGCGGAGCTGGAGATGCGGCTCGGCTCGCTGGGCGCACCAGGTGGTGGCTTCAATGGGTTTCATCGGTGGAGCCATGGGTCTCATTGGCTGAAAGTCAGACTTTTGCTCACTCTAATAAGTACAAGTTTCATTGCTTTATTGTTAGTTTTCCATTTTTGGTGGTTTCAACGGGTTTCGGTCGGGGGGTTCCACCTGGCATTGGGAGAGGCCTAGACCTTTGATACAAAGTTGGTACCACGAGTCCAAGGCCGGTTTTGTCCCGGAAGCAAGAGAACCCATAGTCTACCAATCTACCAGAAAAGGCACATATACACCAGGGTGAAATCCGATGGCACTGCTTTTCCTGTATGGACAAACCCAAATATGGAGGTTGTGTTCTACTTTCGCCCAACCGTAACGCCTCTTTTTCTGGAGCGCGCCCAAGGCCCGGCAAGGGTCTGCCCCTTTTAAAGGGGCCGAATACGATTTTTCGGCGGAAGCCACCCCACTTTGCGCATCGACAGGATCTGAGCTTCGGGTTTGGTCGGGGTCCCAACATTGGTCAATCTTCTTGTAGCGTTGGTTGGCATTTCATTGTGTAGTTTCTTTTTTTGGTCTATGAATCAAGGTTTCTGGGGTTGACCTGTTGATCTTGCAACGTCTTTAAGATTGGTTTGTTGAATCCTGTTGCTTTGGGTCCACTCTTTTTCTCAACATCCTAGAGATTAAACCTTCAGGGACTTTGAGCAAGGGCAGATCCACTACTCAACAGGTGGAAATCGTTTGATTCCCTTTGGTTGCTGAGGTTGCGAATTCTACCGCAGATCGCCCACGGGGGTGCGGGGGCCTTCACTGCCAAGTGCAAAGAAGTGTCTGAGTGCGACACTGCGATGAAGAGCGGCGATCTGCCGCCTGGCCAACAACATCGATGTGGACCTGTTCCATGTTCTGAGGATAGTGGAGGGTGTTCCCCTCCAAAAGTGATGAACCCCAAAAAGGGGAAATCAACCAGGGGTTTGTCAATCCGGGGTTCCCAGTAGGTAGGCTTCGGACAACTCTTACTTGGTGCTTTGAATTGGTAGTTTGGATTTGGATACCCCTGGCTTTGGTAGATGGTAACTGGGAAACCACCCCTGACTCCAATTCACCAATCCAGGCCACCAACTGGAGGGAAGCTGAGGGCTTGAGCAGATTCGACAGTTTTGGAAGGCATCATTCCAGACTTCCCTTCAGCCACTTGATTCACCATATGCGACCTTTTGACCATTTGGTTTTTCGTTTTGGTCCACTTCTAGTCTAGGTCCCCGAAAGGCGAACCTTTTTATCCTGGATCCTTTGGGCGACGTGTCTTTGTGTCCTGGGTCCTTGGCGCGACGGTTCTTTTTATACTGGGTCCTTTGGGCGACGGTTTTCACCTCGGATAAAGAAACCTGGACCCCGAAGCCCCCCTGAGAACAAGACTTGCAGAGCGTCACCGTCTCATCCAGTCCGAAATCCGAAAATCAGGAGCCCTGCGGGTGGCTGCAGGGTGGCTTGTTCTCCTTTGGGTTTCCCGTTCCTCCAAAACATGCGTAAAGCCTCTTTCTGGATTGGCAACTTTAAGGTTAGGTTCCTGAAAGTGATCTGTGAAGGCAAAATTCGGGGAACTCTGACGCCGTGGCTCTTTTTGGTTTCGCCCTCACAACATGTGCTTTTCAAGCCCTTTTGCCGGTTTTCCATCACCCACGTGCCCCCCCCCGCCGCCCAACTAATTACTCCACCAAGATTCGCGCCTTAGACCTCCCCCATCCCCCATCCCGAAAAAATGGCCGAAATCGGCTACATCCACCCTTCCCCACCGAAAAAATGGCCGAGATCGGCTTTCTACATGTGGGCGCTTTCCGTTTAAGCCACCCCTACACGGGTTTGCCACCCCTAGGCATCCCCCACCCCAAATCCTCCGAGGGCCGGGGACCTTGGGTGGCTGGACAAAGACGTGGCCAAGAACCGCAAGGTGCCGGCGCCCGTGGTGCGTGCAGCCTTCCTCCTGGCGGTGGGACAGGCCGCCCGTGTCCGGGGTGTGGGGTGTGTGTGGGGTGGGGGGTGTGTGTGGGGTGTGTGGGGGGGGTGGGGGGGGTGGGGTGGGGGGGGGTGGGGTGTGTGTGCGTGTGTGGGTGGCTAGGGGGCCACTGGCCATGTTTGTGGCTTCGCTTCCTACCTGGTTTAGTGGGTGATGTACAAAGCTGTGTGACCGTGTTGGTGGAACCCGGACACAAAGTGAATGGGTTTTGAGCGCTCAAGTGAATGTGTCAAAGTTCGGTCAACACGTCCAGTCTTTGGTCCACTTGGGTGGGACATCAGGTTCTCCTTATGCACTGGTGATGTCAGCGTGAATGTGCAATCGTGTTTTGAGAGTGATGCTTGGAACTACATGCAACACAAGTGGAAAGTGTATTCTTGGTGTTGCTGGCTCTTGCGCCTTTCCTCCACAAGCGCCGATTAGAGGAGGAACCCTGCATCAACCCTGGAGTAGTTTTTGCTTCCGTTCATGGTGGTCATATTACGCATGTGCCACAAATTGTGTTGCGGAAATCCAGCAGAAGGCGAGTTCCAGCATGGCTCCCTTAGAAGGTGTTCATACCAGAAACTTGGAATCCACCACAAGGGGCTGGCCCCTTAAAGTCCCAAAGATATCTTTAGGGCCTGAGCCCCGAAAACACAATTGCTTCAAAGTTGCTCCAATGCACTTCCGGGGGAACCTTTTAATTACTCGTACTACGAAAGTCAGATAGCTGCAGCGGATGCACAAAATGAATCAATTCAAATCTTCTGTCAATTTGCCCAGGGTTCGGTGAAGATTCTGCTAGCTGGTTCTCAGTAAGGAATTCGCCTGGTGTTTTGAATGAACCAGAAGGGATCCCCTTTATATAATGAACCTACAAGGGATGGTTTAAAGCATTCCTTTATTCCCTGCTGAGAACTTGAGGAGTCTTCAGAGCTAGGCTTGGATGGTGTGGGTCCTTTTATTTTCTTCTTCGAGCCAAAATTGAGAGGGATACCATGATTTGGTGAACCACTGTTTTGAAGGAGAACATGATTGCATGGGCGACTTGCGTGTTTGTATATCGATTGATTCGGCAATGATTTGTCCCATCGCCCTGGTCTTTCTTTTGGTATTTATATCTATACGTCATCACAATGTCTGTGTTGAACTAGTGTGATACTTGAGGCAGATTTGGCTATGACAGTTGATGGTTGGAATACCCTCCGACTGGTGGACACGGATTCCTGCGCATGACTTTCCACCAAAGGGTTGTCAGGTGCAACTAATGCCCATATGTCAAATTGCCCTCAGGGGGATGGGTGATGTATTGCTCTTTTTCCCCACGGATGTCTTGAGGAAAGATGTTCCTCCTTTTCTTGAAGACTGATGTTGATTCGTCTTCCAGGTCTTTGTCCTGTGCTTTCTGCCCAAGTGCCAGGTTTTTGGAATTTCCTTTGCTTCGCTCGGGATAACTTGGGGGCAATGGGGTCCACCTGGTTGATTGTTTCCCTCACGGCGTGTTGATGACTGGAGAGTCGTGCAACTGAAACGCTCGGCTGTATGGCGAACACTTCCGCTTGCAAGTAGCGTGTCCCACACACAGCACCATGCACGCAACACAAGCCATCCTGCGAGTGAGGATTGGACACTTTGTCCAGGAGTACAACCCCAGTTGTGTGGCATCCTTTCTTCCGTTTTCTTGGCAAGGGGTTGCTTTAAAATTCACCAAAAAGGATGTCCGTTTTTTCCCTGGCTGTGGCTTGCGAGGCTGAAGTCCTGAAGTGGATGAACCGTTGACCTAAAGAGAAGCGGAACGTCCTCATGTTTGGTGTACCAAGCTTGGGGTTGGGCCAAGATTGGAACAACCTGCGAACTGAAAAAGAAAGAAAGAAGAAAACAAAAAAAGCAAACAAGGTGAAACCGCGATTGTCAACTTGAGTGTTCACTCATGCCATAATGAATGGCGCCCGTGTTTTTTGTGGCTGAACGCCTTCATTTACGCAGCCCGAGTACAAGTGAACATTCCGGGGGAGAAGACTGGCTGAACTCCGGTAGATGTGTACTGTATGTCAAGAGACTAGGAATCGAACCACCTGGGGTCCTTACGCTGTAAGAGTCTTAAGAGACATCCACAGTGTTAATGTGCACACGGCACGGCGCTTGCAGGTCAGTGATTTGGTTTCATCTGAGCGCGGAATCCATCTCATTCTCAGAACGGCTTGAGACCTGGCGGAGTGGTTCCAAAAATGCGCGCCTGCCTCATAGGAGCCCTTCGAATGATCAGGTCCGTTGGACATGATTTGCTTCCACGGTTTTGAGTTTGTTCCACTCATGTACCAGTGGCATCATTTTGTTCAGAAGCCCACCTAGGCCGCCTCGATTGGGTTCGGACGTGCCATTGTTTTTCACCCGGTAGAATCCAAGACATGAGGCTGCAGTGGGATTATTTATTAGAGGGAAGTCCTCCAACTTTGGGATAAATCCGAAGCTGCCATTGTACCAGGTCTTGGGTAACAATACACCCCCGCCCCCATTATTCACGAGAGACAGTAATTAGACCCTTACCCCTTAGCTCCCAGAGCGGCCTAAAGGACCTTTCTCAGAGCCCCTGCCCATCAGAGCAGGTTCTTGGACTGTGCAAGCTTGACCCTAGAGCCACAATTTGACCATCTAAAGCTCGAACCTGTTTGCAAGTGTCTAACAGCCTGTTCTGGGGACGAGACAAAATTTTACCCATCTAAAGAAGCCTTTTGTCCAAGTTTCTATCAGCCTGCTCTGGGGCAGATCCTTTTTTTTCCTTTTTGTAGGCCCTAGGATTTGGGCAAAAAGGCCGTCCGACTGAGGCATGGCTTGCCTGAAGTCGCGCGTGGCGCCCGCGCCACAGACAGCGCAGCCGGACGTGGACGCTTTTTTGTTTTTTTTCCCATGGCAGGTTCCCAGGTGGGTGTGGCTCAAAATGAACCAGGAGGGGCAAGCCGCAGGTTTTGGTCCATGTTTCCACTTTCCAGGGCAAGCCATTTTGGTGCCGGGTTTTTTGTGGCAGGTTCCTTGGTGAGCAGAAGGAACACTGAGGGCTCTGTTTTCCAAGTGGAGATTCCATTGAGGTGAAACAAAACGTGCCAAAGTTGAAATTGGAAAGAAATTGGCTGCGAGTGGCGGCTTTGTCCAATTTCAACTTTGGCACGTTTTGCGACATCAATGGAATCAGAAAGCGTGCAACTGTGCACGAATTTGAAAGTAGCCGCTCCCTGGGAGATTCGTTTGATGTGTTTCACTTTGTTTTTTGGGCGGGGGATTCTATCTTAATCTGCAGGAGGAGTAGACCGTTCGAAAGGAGGGCTTGGGGATGGGTGCTTGACACTAGCCAGACACTTCCTTTTGTTGTGTTTTATTGTTGTTGAGATTGTGGCGAGGGTGAATGCAGGCGAACGCAACGGTGTTGGTATGCACAAACAACGGTTGATAACTATGCTCTAGTCTTGCAGAAGGTTTGCGGCTTTTGGACGGGTTCTACCTTTGCGCGTTGTCGTGACCCTTGTCAAGGGCTTGGACGAACTGGCTCAGGACTTCCCAGGAAGCCTGAAAACAGCAACAACAAATGGCGCCATCTGGCTGGCTGGTACAGGAGCCATAAGTCAAACCATGAGGCACCGATAATACTTGTTGGTAGTTTGCTATTGGTTTAGGGAGAACATTGGCAGACCACGCAGATTCCCCACCAAAAAAAAACAGAGAGACCGGGCCCCCCCGTTTGTGACCCATGTCCGTTGCTCAAGCGAAACCAAGTTTTTGGAGTCCTGCCACACGCGAGGCCGTTATTCTGGCTTCAGCCTTCTCAGTGCTCGTGTCAACAGCAGGCCGTTGCCTACCGATCGCTGCCCTTGAGTCGGATTTGAACTAACATGGTTGCTGAAAATTGATTCACAACCCGATTTCTGTTTCAGCGAGCCGATTTTTAGTGATAAAGCTGGCATGAAGATGGGAAGCCGCCAATATTGATGTCGCAGAAAGGGGTATCTCTTTTCCACCACCTTGTGCAGTGGTGTGGCTTGCACAAGTCGCACGGCGTTGCAGGGTTTGTTGATCCCGCCGGCCATATATGAGATGGTGGGGCCTTTGAAGAGCCCGTTTTGTCACCACTCTTTGCTCGCCTTGCATAGACGGACTTTTGCCGTGTGAAGGATGGTATGTTTTTTTTCTGTGGTTCGGCTCATATCCACGCACGTTAAGAAGCTGAGGGTTGTTCCCCTTGATTTAGTTGAAAGATCAGCCCGTCAGGTTGGCATGATCGAAGGATGTTTCATTTGCGTTCCGGACGAAAGGGTGCAACTGCCAGAACAGTGCGGATTCCCCCCTGGCCAACGGAAACAGCGATCCCTGCAAACAACCGTGGGTTTCATCCACTGGTTGTATTTGTTACCCCACATGGACCAGTCAAGTTTTTTTTTTTGGGGGGGGCTTCTCGGATTCGAATGGCACAAAGGTTGACCAATTGGTGGCCCTTTTTCGAGACCCTTTTTGGGCCCGAAATGGGATACCCGGCTCTCCTCCTTTTGAACCCCCCAAACGACCCTCAAACTACCCTGAACAAAAAGGATCTCACCCCACAATTTTGGGGCAAGAACCCATTTCTAATTTGAGGGTCCAATGTTTCGCCCGGAGCCCGAGAATGATCATTGAACCTGCAGCAGGTTTCTTGTTGCTCCCGGAAAAAGACCAACTCAGACATGTTGCTTAATTTGGGGTTTGGGTTCGGCACATAGCTCGCGAAGTTTTCCCAACGCCAAGCAAAGAGAGCCTTGATTATCCATCAATCAGGGAACTTGCAAAAGAGGGCGCAGCAAATTGGAAGCGACTCATATCGAGCTCTCGCAGGCCTTGCTTTGCTTCGAGGCATCGATGGGTGAGTTGTGTTTGTTGCTGGTTTGTTGAGCGGAAACCAACAAGGCAACCTGGAGAAGCAAAAACATTATCCTTTGGTCTTGGAGGCTTTGCAACAAAGTTCAAAGAAGAAGGGTCAGGCGGTTTGTTCGGACCAAACCACCTTCAAACATTTGGTAACATGGGCATTTTCCCACCAGTTTGAACTGTTTTGGGAAGGGGGTAACAGCCTTGGGATCGTCCAAAAGAAGGCAGCCCTGACCCGAGAAAGGGCTGAACATTGACAGAAGGAGAGAAAGCGTACGACCCCCACAACGAGATTTCTCCGGATTCACTTCGGGGCTTTGGGCAGACTGGACCATGGGATCCCCATGAGCGCTTTCCCCATGGGATCCCCATGAGCGCTTTCCAAGCTTCAAGTCTGGCAAGACGCGACGTGTTTCCAGGCAAAGCCATTTGATCGGAGCCGATCCCAGGATTTCTTTCGCCGCGGGCTGACCAACAAATACAAGCCGGAAGTGAGTTAACAAAAGCCAATGTTTGGGGATGAACATTGACAATAGAAATGAAGCCGCCCCGCCCCCAACACCGCTCCCTGCCCATGCCTTGAGAGATTGTCAGCTAGCTGGAGGGATTGCAGGTCACTTGAGCTCTCCATGAACGTGAGATTAGATTTGTTTTTGTTCCAAGAATCCTCAATGGGCGGTATCCTTGTTGTTCCTGAAGGATTCTTCAAACCTCAGGGGTTCTTCCGGATTTTTTCGAAGAACGTCCGACCTATAGATCACCACTCGGGGGGGGGGGGCTATTCTGAGCGCTCTATTCTGTTGCCCAGTGGCGCCCTTTTTCCCCCTTTGGGGGGAAGGAGTCCCCATAAAAATCCTCAACCAGAGAAGGATTCCGATTCTTTTCCCCCGCTGGGCGAAGTTTCCCCGCAACGGTTCCATGGCGAGCTTGGCGTGACCCGGGCGTCGACAGGCACCCGGCCCAGCGAAGTGGAGCGCTTGCAGAGATACGCCGTGGGGGCCCCGGACGTCGCTCGTTGATGCGACTGGCGGCGGGCGGCTTGGGGGCGGCTTCTAGGGCCCGGAGCTTGCACTTACCAACTTTGGGATGTATTTACCTCTAGTAGACGGGACGTTACATGCATCTGCCTGCTGTAGATGATGGCTTGCCCCGGTTGCGTAGTATACTGGGGGGTGGGTTTGAAAGTGGGAAACTGTGGGCAAAAATGTCTGAAGCCTACCACTTGAGGGGTGGCGTCCATACTTGCAGACCACTGGAGCCAGAATGCTTGGCCGTGTTTCAGGGATCCAGACGCCCCACAGCAGCCATCAATAGAATTAAGCTTTGAGATCCTTGAAAGATTCATGTGGATTCATGTTCAGCATCGCACGTACCAGTGGATTTGGACGACCGACGTGTTAGCGGGTTGCATTTGTTGAGGAATCCAGTGTTTGTGGGCCAACATATTTTGAGGTTTGGTTTTGTGCTGGACTGCTTATATCGGTTTGAAATGGATGGTCGTCAACCTACGATTAGGTTTGTAGACAGGTATGTTGAAGGTTGCAGAAGCAGCGGACCACGCTCCGTGCCCAAATATTCGACGTTGCACCTACGCTATCCACATCACTCAGAATAAATATATGGGTATATGGTAAAATAGGAGACCCTGCAAAATGGTGGCTTCCCTTAACTTTGGATTCCCTTGACACCAACCAAAAAGGGCAATTGCCCTCCAAAATAACAAGTCCATTAGTGTTGCGGTATGTTGTGTAGGCAATGGCCGGCAAAGCATACTGCGCCGTTCCCCGTCATTGCCCAATGGACATTGTGCTCCCCCCAGCAAAACACACGAATCCTTGCAAGTTGCGGTTCTTATGTGACTTCGTCTTTGCCTCCTTGGATCTCGGGCGACACAATTCTTCCAATGAGCTCTGAACACGGACGTAATTTTGTGAGGTGTTTCTTTGTCGGCGTTGGTTTGAAGAGGAGCCACCGGCGGTTTTGAAGCCCCATTTTGATGGGCTTCCTGTGAGACATATTGCGTCGTGCTCGATGCTCGATGCTCGAGTGCCAGGATGCGGGCTCGCCAATTCAACAGCGAATTCTGTGGCATGTGCTCGGGGCACTCCTGACATGTTGACCAATGCAGAGAGATCCAGCAAGGAGTGCCTGACCTCTAGCACCTGTCCTGACATAATAAACTCCGTTAAACTCTGAGTTGGACCCCTTAGCATGGCATGGCTTGCTGTTGTCCCTTGGTTTCCTTCCAGATCCATCACAAACAAGGGACGTATCTCTCAAGTGATTTGACACTCACAGCGGTGATGCAGTTGAGA